TTACTTTTATAGATTAATTTCCAAAGTTCTTGTCTTTGTTTGTTGTCCTTCTATTTTCATCTTTAAGTGCCCCAGGGATGATATTGTTTGGTTAAGCTTCTCACTAAGCTTTTATTAAAACTGGTTTCATCCCTCATTGCTTCTACATGCTTTAAAACACAATGCTGCTCCTAACCTTCCAGCATCCTCCGTAAGATTTTTTAAAATGAGTTTGTAATCTAAAGTGATATGCTCTTTAGCTGATTCGTCTCTCTCCTCTTGTCAAGTAAAGCATGTTTGCTACCTGAAATGTCTTTTAGGCTCTCTTGGTAACCTTGTTATAGCAATTGATTTTCATCAGTTAAACTTCTGTGCCTCTAGTATTTCTTCCATCCGTAATTTATTTTTTCATCATTACTAACTTATTTCAACAGAATGCCATCTTTTCTTATCGTTTCACTTAATTTTATACCAATTTTTATCTTTGCACTAATAAATTGGTAATCTGGCCATACATGGCCAGCCAAATCAGGAATGGTTCTCACATCAGTTAGAAGTCATTTCTTATTTGTTAAAATGTCATCTTTCAAAAGTTACTCAACATTCATCACGTCAGCATTTAGTTAACTCTTCTCTCAAAGACAATGCCCCTGACAATGCTAAAGATGTACAGAATAAAAAATAGTCTTAGAACCTGGATCACGTGCATTGTCTTTGAGAAAAAATATACATTTTTGCTCTCCTTACTTGTTTCTAGCTTTATACTGAAGTCATCATGTATGAATATGTATGTGGATTTAATTTCAAAGATCTTAGCAAATTCTTCGATAATCTTTCTACTTCTTGATCCTTTGTGATACATGGTGATGCAAATGCTACCATTACTTTTACGGTGCTTCTTTTCTCTTTAAAGAAATTTTCCTAGGAGGCAGCTAGGTGATGCAGTGGATAAAGCACTGGCCCTGAAGTCAGGAGGACCTGAATTCAAATCTGGCCTCAGACACTTGACATCAACTGTGTGACCCTAAGCAAGTAACTTAACCTCAACTGCCCACCAAAAAAAACTAATTTTCATGAGCACTTGCAATATAGGTGATGCAAAATTTGTACTGACCTAATATCTTAGAATGTATGCAATGAAAGTTTAGAGAAAATGGAACATTGCATAACTTTAATGACCCGTGTTGGCCCCAAGGAAAAGATCAAAAGCAGAGATGTGGAAGATGACAGCGGTGGAGTACTGCATGTATGCTCAGGTGGAGTCATTGCATCAATAGGCTTTGCTGAATAATTTTCTTTATGGAGAGGACTCATTATCTGGGAAATTGTGGGAAGACAGAGAGGAAGAAGATATCCAAAAAACTGACTGCTGTTTCGAAATAAAAGACATGATGCTATTTTTTTTCCTGCAGGATGTTGCCAAGAGTAAGAATAGGAAGACAAGAAAGCATAGTCAGTATCTCATTCAGAAGACAGAATTTAAAAAAACAAGTTGACATTTATAAAGCTCATTATCTGCATTATCTAATTGATCTTCAAAACAATGAGGCACATTGGATGGCATATTTATCATCATCATCATCTCAATTTCAAAATGAAAATGAAAAAACTGAGACTCATTGAGTCGCTTTGGGCCATCAAGATAGTTAAGTGGCAGAGCTTGGTTTCAAATCCATGTTTCTCAATTTCAGTATTCTTTTTAAATGTACCACAGTTGCCTCTATTACACCAGAGGATCACTAGCAGCCTACCTTGGTGATAAAAGCATGGCCACGGCAAGTCATGGAACCTCTGTGGGCCTCAGTTTGCCCATCTGTCTAAAATAAGGGACTGTGAGTTGTCCCCTAAGGTCTCTCCCAGCTCTCTCTTTTTGTGATAATTAATTAAAGATCAGACCAGCAGTCATATGACCTCCGAGTAGAGGTTAAGGTCCAAGAGTCCAACTTGGTTCTGCCCCCAGTCCAGGACTATTGCTGAACCAAGTCATCCAACCCTTAGGATTATTAAACCTGAGAGCTCATGTGTGACCACTTCGCAAAGGTAAACAGTACAGAAACTTCTGGATCCACTTAAATCCCTAGGAAGAAAAACTACTCAGCTAGTATTCTTGTAGGATCCTGCTGAGAACCCAATTCCAAAGAGAGATATTCCATGCTTTCCATAAAATCTTCTACCTTCATCTATTCCTTCATAATTCCTATAATCCTACAGGGTCAACTGTGCTGCAGTCAGGTTGTTTTCCCAGCAAGGGTTTTATTTTCTCTCACATCTTTCCATTGAATGGGGAAAAAAACCACATAAGTTTATAATAGGCAGATCTCAATCAGATACAGAATGAAATTTTTAAAGCTTGTCTGTGTTGGCCACAAAAACAAAGTCGGTTCTAGAGAAAGGCACAACATGGTAGTCCAGTGTTCCAGCCTATGCGATCACATAGAACAGGTTCAATCCTGGGGGCTACCCAAAAAAAGTATATCTGTCTGTGGCTTATTAAGCCCATGTTCTGACTTTACTCTAGAAAGTCTCAGAACATAGTTTGCATTTAGGTTTTCCCACATGTGGGTGAAAGGGTAACCTGGGATCCCTTTGTAACCCATTATGATAAGTCATTTAATGTCTTTGATACTCAGTTTTCTTATCTGAAAATTGGGTGTAATAATTGTACCCACTTTATTGGGTTATTGTGAGGATCAAATGAGATAAAAATACTTGGAAGACATTTAGGGTACTACTTTGAGAACTTGGACTGCCTTGGAAGGAAAATGCACTTGGAGCCAAGATATCTGTTCAGGCAAGGGACAGAGTTAAAAAGATGTCTCCTCTCCTTGGACCACTGGCAGGTGAACCTGGGGAGTACTGCTTGAAGGCATAGGTGATCCTCAGTATAGCTATAATGTACAGCATAGGGATGATGCTTCTAGACTAGACGCTAAAAGTCAGAGAACCTGTTTGATATAGTGGGGGAAGAGGAAACAAATGCAAAAACACTCGGAAAACAGGTATATTATGGTTGCTTAATCCACCTCCTCCCTTATGAAAATGGGGGATATTTGCCCCATCTCTAGTCTTGTACCACCTCTCACCTTTACAATTCCTCCCAGATAACTCACAGCAAATTATTTCAATATGGTATTATATAATCCAGTAATTATTGTTGTGTTCAGGCATGTCAGACTCTTCACGGCCCTATTCGGGGTGTCTTGGAAAAGATACTAGAGTGGTTTGCCATGGCCTTCCTTACCTCATTTTACAGATGAAGAAACTGAGGTAAATAGGGTTAAGTGGCCTACCCAGGTAGTAAGGAGCTCACCACTAATAGGGAGACAATAGGTGTAATAAAAGAGGCCTAGGCAGGATCCAGACAGAGCAGAAGGAAGGTCAGGTCCTGAAGAAAGGCTCAAATGGCTGAGGGACCAGGACCATCTTTCTGTCTGCTACTCACATAGCTAGTAAGAGCCTGAGGCCAGATTTGAACTCAGGAAGACGAATGAGTCTCCCTAACTTCTGGCCTGGCACTCTCCCACTGCGTCACACAGCTGCCCTGATTTAATAGGCTGGCAAGTAGTAATTTTTGATCAGAAGACCCTGTTCCACTTCTCACCAGCTGTGAGAGCTGGGGAGCAGGCCACACTTTCTCTCCGTCTCAGGCTTTTGCTTCTTTTTCATGTCTCAGGGCTGAGGTAGAAGCCGTTTTGACAAATTCGAATGCACCGCAGGAATGTTGAGTGCTCAGTGTTCCTTGGTCTTCTGAGATGTTTACTTCAGGACTTGTGATGTCCCTCCTCCTGCACAATCTTCCTGCCTGCAGACCTCGTGGGTACTTCTGCCACCCCCAGGAGTGTTGGGGAAGTCCTGATTGCTGGTGAGGGAGGAGGCTTGGGGGACGTGCTGCATTACACCGTGTGCTGGAGTCATCTGTGCCCTTGTGCTTAATGTCACTTGCAGGTTTTAGGGCCGCACCTCGGGTGAGCAGGAGCCTGTTCCTGGTGCCTCAGCCACTTGAGCCTTCCCCTGCTTTCTGCTCTCTATGGATCTTGTAGATGCCTTTGTATCATCCCATTATCTCCCCATTAGTGGTGAGCTCCGAAAGGGCAGTGGTCGGTTCTGTGGCTTTGCAATCCTTTGTAACCTCAGCACTTACCATGGTGCCTTGCAGGCAGCGCTCACTTATGACATCTTATTGACTCCCTGGAGAGGTGATGTGGAGGGAGCTGTTTAGCCACAGAATCCAATAGGAGCGATGACTCCCTTCCATTTGAGATAGAGAGAGTTAATTAGGGCAAGTGTCTTATCAGCTTTTGTCAGGGGGAAAGGAGGAGAAAGAGCTGCATGTCTTCCAGTTACTAGCACTGACACTTTACTTAGCTTCTCTTGGCCTCAGTTTGCCCATTTGTAAAATGGGTACAATAATACCTGTAGCACTAACCTCACTAGTGTAAATATCAAATAAAGGAGAGTATATAATACACTGGAAGAGCATTGGTTCTAGAATCAGAGGACTGGGTTCAAGTTATACCTCTAGAGCTTACTCTCTATATGACCTTGGACAAGTCATTTAATCTCCTCAGGCCTCAGTTTTCTCCTGTGTAAAATGAGGGGACTGGACTGGATGGCCTCTGAAATTTCTTTCAACTTTAGGTTTACAAGCTATGGTCTATCAAATGAAGATAACCTCATACTTCATAGGTCAAGTATGAGTCTCAAATGAGACAATTTATGTCAAGTGCTTTATAAAACATACAGTGCTATGTATAGGTCAGGGATTCTTATTATTATTACTGTTTTTATTAGGCAGATTGTACAAGATGGTGAAAGGTGGTCCAGCCCATTCCATGTCCTTTGGGGCTGGGGCCAAAGGTAAACAGAGAAGCACAGTTTAATGGCAAGATGGAGCTAAGGCAACTGGCCAAGGTCTTGGACCTGGCCAAAGGCCTGGAATAATCTTTCAAAGTGTTAACTGTTAACTTGTGACTGTCTCCTCCCCAAATCCCTCCTCCAGTTACCCAGTGCCTGTTGCGGTTTCTGGTTTAGTATTAAAATCCTTTTCAAAAGCGTCAGAGTTTGGTACCCTAAGGTTGGACAGAAGAAACAGGAACAGCAGGGTAGGAGCAAAGGAAACATTGTGTTCTTTCAGATGAGGGCCTGAGTATAGGATGTTGGTCAACAGAGAGAAGTGGGGGTAGTTTAGAGCACTAAGGGGCACCAGTGAGCACAGAGCAGAGTGGGCAGGAGGGAGCTGCTCCTGGCATGGCACGCACCAGGTGCAGTCTCGCTGAGTAAGGTCAAGGGAGGTCAGGACACAGTTCCATGGCTCTCTTTTTACATATCTCTGCCTCGGTCTCTCTCCCTCTTCCCTTTCTGATATTCCTCTAAAAGCTAGGCTGAGCACCTGCCCAAGATGCTCCTTCTCCGCAGCTCGCAGATGTTGCAGACCCTGGAGGGAGCCTTGAGGAAGGGCATTCCTGAGTCTTTGAAGGTAAGCATGAACACTGACTGCCGACTTCAACAGAATCATTCATGTCCATCATTTCATGAATATTACCTAATCTCCACTCGTGCAGCCAGTGCCTTATTTCAGTCACCCTCCTCCTCTCCGTGGATGAGTGCAGCAGCCCTCTCTACTAGCCTGTCTGCTGTCTTAGCCTTCCTCCACAGAGCTGCCAAAATGATAGTCCTAAAATGCAGGTTTGATCTTGTCATTTCCTTATTCAGTAACCTCTAGTGCTTAACTATTTGTTTCTAGGCTCAGATATAAGCAGTTTTGTTTGGCATTGAAAACTCTTCACAAAAGGGCCCTTCTCACCTTTCCCTTCCCCACTGCTTAGCACACAGTAAGCCCTTAAGAAGTGCTTGACCGGCCAACTGATTCCACACACTTGGCATTCCAGTCATACTGGCATGCCTTATACTCTGCACATATGACAGTTCAGCTTCTGTCTCCCAACTCATCCCTTTTCATAAGTTTCCTTCATTCCCAGAATCTACTTCCTCTTAACTTCCTCCTTTTGGAACCTCCTGTTTCCTTCAAAATTTAGCTGAAGCACCACCATCTATATCAGGGGTTGTTAACCTGGGCTGTCCGAACTTGTGTTTACAAATATTTTGATAACTGCATTCCAGTATTAGTTTTCCTTTGTAATCCTGTCTATTTTATGTATTAAAAAAATGTGGTGCTACGATGGAGTCCACGGGCTTCACTAGCCATTGCCCAAGGGGTCCAGCTCTCTCTCTCTCTCTCTCTCTGTCTCTCTCTCTCAGTCTTTCTCACAGACACACACATACACACACACACACACACACACACACACACATTCATAGACAACCAATTAAGATTTCCTACATGAGGCCTTTCCTAACCCCAGCTGCTTGTGACCTCCCTCCCAAAACCACAGTGTATTCATTGTGTATATATCATGCATCATAGGGTGTTCCAAAAGGCTTCCTGCTAACTATTAACACTTAAAAATCCTCATGCATTTTAAACTTGAATAACTCTTATGTGTAGATGTTTCCCCTGAGATAGTAAGTGGAAGAGCCATTGTTTGAACCCACAATTTGAGTATGATTTCTAGCATACTAGGCTGTCAACTCAGTTCCTTTTTAGAAGCAAGAACCCAGGAAGGAATGTGCATACCCTGGGAGAATACAGCAAAGGTCCATGACTTCCTAGCTATGCGTTCTTAGGAAAGTTACTACCTTGCTGGACATCAGTTTCCTCATCGGAAAATGAGTAGATTGGGTTATGACGATCTGTGGGTCTCCTTCCAAGTAATATGGTCTAGAATCCTTCGATGATATGCAAAACAAACTGGGGGAACTCTGAGTAGGAGAACTCTTTATAGGGAAAATTGAAACCTCTCTATCACCTGGTCCTAAGTCTTAGGAGGTTGCTTGAGGCTCAGAGAGGTTAGTATTATACTTATTTGCACTATGACAGGTTAAGAGACATGTGTATTGTGCTAGAGATGGAGTTAGAACCCTAGTCTTCCTTACTCCCAAGCCTGACAGTCCATAATATGAGGTTGCCCTGGACATGCTTAGAAAATCCTTCCCTCTTGTGTGTGACTGGCCATTGGAGACTTTGAATCCCCGATTACATACAGCTTGACTTAGCAGCTTATTGCAGAATGAATCCTTATCAGTCACTGACTTTTCTAACATCTGAAACATCCTATTACAAAGTGTTCCTTGGCTGGTCCTCTCTGTTCGTTGTATCCTGGATCCCTGCCAAGCTTTCCTCCATTTAGCCTGACCCAGGCTCTGCAATAGTCCCCTCTCCCTAGAAATCATGCCCTCTCTCCTCCAAGAGAAGACTGAAGATTCCTGGACCATTTTCCCAGAGCACTCCTCCCTGGACAAAGGAAGTTGTCATCAAGGGCTCCCTTTGGAATTTCTCACGGCTAGGTGGCACAACAGTGCACTTTGCACTGGGCTTCCAGTCAGGAAGACTGGAGTTCAAATCCAACCCTGGACACTTACTAACTGTGTCACCCTGGGCGAGTCATTTAACCTCTGTTTGTCTCAGTTTCCTCAGGTGTCACATGGGGATAATGACAGGATAGCACTTATCTTACAGAGTTTGTTGTGAGGATCAAATGAGATAATATTTATGAGTCCTTAATACAGTGCTTGGCATGTAGCAAGTGCTTAATAAATGTTTATTTGCTTTCCTTCCTTCCCTTTGTCTTCTCTTCATTTCCCGTTCCCCACTTCACAGACACATGAGCACTACCACTCTCTTTGGTACATCCTCAGAGAACCACAGACGATAGGTGTTAGAATTGAAAATCAATTCACCAACGCTCCACTCCAACGCCCTCTTTTTATCTTCTTTTCAGTTTTTTAAAATCCTGGCTTTAACCAACACCAAACAAATGGGTGTTTTCATATTCATAATAGAAAAGAACATGTGGATTGTCGACGACCCTGCGGTCTCTGTTAGGCAGCTTGCTTTTCTCTTTCTGTGTATAATAAGTTTTTGCTTTGGCTTTGACCACGCTGATCTGTAGTCCCTCCTCCTCCCCACTGGGGACAATGCCTGACACTTACTCGCTGCTTAATCAATACTTGATTCATTCCAGGACACATTGGACTAGATCAGTGGTGTCTTACTCAAGTAGACACAGTCACTAAGCCATACACAAGGATTCAGTCCGTGCAGGGGCATATTGGCTTAGAAAACCGAATGAACATTATGCTTTGTTGTATTTTTATCTTGTTAAATGTTTTCCAATTGCATTTTAATCTGGTTTGGACACCCACCAGTCTGGGTGTTCGACACCTCTGGACAAGATGACGCTGAAGTCTCTTCTATCTATGATATTATGTAAATTTATATAAAAGCAAAGCATTTTTACTATCCCTTCAGGACAATCCAAGCTCCAGGAGGGTAGAGACTGTCATTTTTGACTTTGTATCCGCAGTGCTTAGCACACAGTAGGTGCTTAATAAATGTGTACTGAAGTGAAGTGAATTCAGGAATTCAATTCTTGCCTTTCCCCTGTTCCTCTCAGGTGTCCCTGGGGGTGGCATTCAGCAAGGACCTGTGGCAAGTGTTAGACTAACATTCAGGAGGGGCCTTTCTCACTTCCAAGTTGTGAGACCACTGACTAGTCCTTCAAAGGCTCTGCGCTCAGAGTCTTCTTCTTTTAACATGGGGATCTGCTTGCTCTGCCTTACTCTGAGGTCTCTTATCCTATTCAGTGTCTGGTGTGCATGCTTCTCAGTAGAACACAGCCCACTCTCCAGAATGCAGGTCACATCTCCAAAATGCAGTCCAAAATGGGTTTGTCCTGGAAATGAGCATGAGACTCATTCAGAAGACCTAAGTTCAAGTTTGGGCTCAGCTACTTGACATCTATGTGACTGACTAAATCGATTAACTTCTCCCTCCTGATGGCAGAGCCTCTCTGAACATGTTTCCAATGGTGGCTGTGTTTTCACTCATTCTCCCCCTGGACTATTGCAAGATCCTGTTGTTTGGCATGCTCGGCCCACATCAACTCACTACAATCCATCTTCCACTATCAAAGTGGTCTTCCTTATGTGCAAGTCTCACCATGTCACCTCTACTCAGTAAACTCCAATGGTTCCTTTTTACCTCCAGATTCCTATATAGAAAGCCCTTCATAACCTGATGCCCTTCTTCAGGCTTCTCATACTTTACACCCCATCAGTCTCATTTCTTCTCCTTTCCATCCACCGTGGACTTCGAGATCTCCTTGTTCATTAAACATAATACTCCATCGCCAGACTTCAGACTTCTATACAGGCTGCCCCTATGAGTGGAATGCTCTTCCTCCTCATTTCTGCCTCCTGGCTTCCCTGGCTTCCATCAAGTTCCAATTAAAATTTCATCTTTTATAGAAAGCCTTTCCTGATTCTTCTTAATCCCAGTGCCTTCCCTTTACTGACCATCTACCATTTATCCATACTGTATATTGCTTGTTTGCTAGCCTCATGTCGCCTCCCCCAGTAGATTGTGAATTCCTTGTGAGCGGGGTCTATCTTTTATCTTTCTTCATACCTCTAGCATTTAGTGCAGTGACTGGAACATAGTAAGCACGTAATAAATGTGAATAGACTGATTTTGTCACCCTTGCCCAATGGACTGACTCTCTGGCTTTCTTGGACTACCTCTCCAGATTTATGGCACCATTTTCCATATGAACCGTGGGAACCCATTCAAGCTGGAGGCATTGGTAGACAGGTGGCCAGATTTTAGAACTGTCATCGTCCGGCCTCCAGAGCAGGTAAACCACTTGTTTTATCTCACAGGGGCTGAGCTCACCCCCTTGCACTTCACCAGTGGCAGAGCTAGAATGCTTGTATTATTCCCTAGCCAACAACTCTCTCCAATGCTCCAGTCACTTCCTACATTCTGATCACTGGCTTTCTTTCATTTTTTCCGACCGACTCAGGACATGACAGATGATTTAGATCACTATACCAACACCTACCAAGTTTTTTCCAAGGATTTCCAGAATTGTCAGGAAATCCTCAAGTCTTCAGATGTCATCAACTGGAAGCAACACCTGCAGATTCAAGGTAAGAATGTCATGCATTTGCATTAGCCAGTCAATAAACTCTTCTCCAGTCATCATTTAACAGAGCTGACTTTGGGTTCTATTAGATTCTCTAGTTCCTAGGGGCAGCAAGCTCGGTATGATTCTACAGGCCAATATGACTGCCACAAGAGCTAAGGTGATCTTAGATTCCATCAAGGAAGACAGAATGTCCAAGATTAGGGAAGTGACAGCACCCATGTAATGTGCCCTGATTACACCGGTTCTCTTCTCCACATTCTTGGAAGAAGATTGGCAATATGTAGAGAAAAGAGGCCAGGTTGGTTATGGGTCTTATAAACATTCCATCACAAAGAGTGGTTGGGAGACCTGAGGATATGTAGGTTGAAGAAAAAAAAGTTTGGGGTGGGGTTGGAGGTGGCAGTGGAATATGTAAGCTGTCTTCAAGTATTTGGAGAGCTGGAATGTGGAATAGGCACTCTATTCTTCTTGGCCCTGGGGACAGAAGTATCAACAATGGACCAGCATTGCAAAGAGGCAAATTTAGGCCTAATCTGTGGGGAAATTTCCTAAGAATTAGAGGTGTCTGAAAGTGGAATGGGCTGTTGTGAGAGGTAATCAGCTTCCCATCAGTGGAGGTCTTGAAGCAAAGGCTGAATGGTCATCGTTGGAAATGGTATAGAGAGAATTCAGTCAGGTATATATGAGGGTGAAGAGATGGTTTCTGAAGCGTCATCTGATTTTCAGATCCTGTGACTCTTCCTAGTTGAATGTCTTCACTTTCAAAGTCAGAAGCCGATTACATTTTCTGAAATGTCCAGGACCCTTTTGAGAGACCATGCATTGGTCTTTTCCTCAGGCATGAATTCTGCTGATAATATTTCTCCTGTGTGTCTGAATAATCACTTGTGGAATTTTTTTTTCTCCCATAGGTTTACAGTCTGACTTAAACGAGGTGATAAATAATGTTGCAGAGGAAAAATCAGTCCAGGTCACGGCGACACACCGATATCTCTATTTGATTTCTGAAACAATGAAAAAACATGCACCTTCTCAGCAAAATTTGGATCAATTATATACCAAAACTGAAAAACCAAAAACAAAAGTGTAAGTTCTCTAAAAGTTGAGTCATGCACAGGTATTCCTTAGTCTATAGAAGATGTGCTGTGGTCTAGTTGGCTAGAAAGTGAATTTCTATATGTCAAATTCTGTTTTCCTACTGATTTCCATTTCAAAGGTAGAACAACCCTCTCCTTTCCCCATCTGATTAAAGGGAGGACTTCTAGCATGGTAAAGACCAAAGCAGTGGGCAGTCAGGCCTTTGCTACTCTTGGGTTCTCATAAGTGTTAAAAATTAGCTGTCCCTGTTCTGGGATTTTCGTATGCCTGACATCTCCTGTTGACCTTGCAGAGATTATATGACCATCTTATAAATATGATAGTCTCTAGACTCTGTGGGCACAAATCTTGGAATTTGTTCATTTATCTTCTCTTCTTCACTTTTTGCTTAGATATTCACATTACCTATTGGAGCAATACTGTCATTGTGTATTTACGAAGAAAAACTAATGTTGAGGCAACTAGGGGGCTCAATGGATAGAGCACCAGCCCTGGATTCAGGAGGACCTGAGTACAAATCTGGCCTCAGGCAAATAACACTTACTAACTGTGTGACCCTGGGCAAGTCACTTAGCCCCATTGCCTAACCAAAAACAAAAAAAGACTAATGACTCTCATAAGAAAGTAGTTGGGGGGATCACCAAGGCCTGTTTCAGACTCAAAAATGCTACAATTCATAGCAATTTGGTGTGGAACAAGAGGTAGCATGGCATAAGAAATTGAGCCAGCCTTGGAGTCAGGAAGGTTCAAGGGCCACTATTGACCCTGGGCAAGTAAGTCAACCTCTGAGTGCCCCCAGACAACTCTCTGAGGCTACAAGCTGCAGACCAGTTGACAGTCTGCAGTGGTAGTGTGTTGGTCCCTAAAACAACCAAATCATGAGTGTTTTGTGTAGAGGAGAAATTTCACAAGAAGGTCCATCATTTTGGACCATAGATTTTGTGAAGGGAAAGAGAGATAGGTAGGGATATGTGAAGGACTTTAAATGCCCGCCAGAGGAGTTCATAGTGGATCCTATGGATGATAGGGGGCCCCTGGAGTTCATTCAGTAGGAAGGTGACATGGTCAGATCTTCACCTTAGGAAAATACTTTGCTGGCCATGTGGAGAATGTTTTAGAATATCAAGACTGGAGGCAAGGGAGATGAATGAGGAGGCCATTGAAATAGCCCTGGTCAGGCAATAAGGACCTATACAAGGGTAGTAGCTGTGTGAGTAGGACTGAAGAAATAAATGTGAGAGACGTGTAGATAGAAAGGACAGTTTGGCAACTGAATATGTAGGGTGAGGGAGAGTGAAGAGTCAGGACACTAAGATTATGTACTTGAGTGACCTGGGGCTAGGTGGCATGGAGGTAGGAAGACCTGTGTTCCCATCTGGCATCAGACACTTGTTAGCTGTGCGGTGACCCTGGCCAAGTTATTTAATCTCTATTTTCCTCAGTTTCCTCAACCACAAAATGAGGATAATAACAGAACGACACCTACCTTGAAGGGTTGTTGTGAGGGTCAAATAAGATAGTATTTGTAAAAGCACCTTTTAACTTTTGGCCTTGCACCATATAAATGTTCATTCCCTTCTAAAATTGAGAAGTTTGGAAGAGAGATGGATTTGAAGGGAAAGATAATGATTCTGTTTTGGACTTGCTCAGTGTGAGTTCTTAAAAATGTCCTATGAGCAGTTGGTAATATGAGAGCTCAGGCAAGAAAGTAGGTCTGGGCTTGCAGAATTAGGGCCCATCTACCTAAGGATAACAATCAGACTGCCTGTGTTGGTGCTTTATCCCTCTTCCAAGCTATAAACTCCTGAAGAGCAAAGACTGTGTGTCTTACATGAACTGCGTATGCTCTGTATTCAGCAATTACTAATCGTGTGTACTTAATAAAATAAAGAAAGAGGTCTTATGAGCCAGAGCACGCAGCCAGACTGCCTACAGTCTCAGGCTCTAGGAACACCAAAAGGCCTTTGTATTTACAGAGCCCACCCTCTTTCTTCAAATAGGCATATGTGTAAATTCAAGGAAACTGCCTTGGTACCCCATTAGAGGAAATTGACACGAGACATATTTCAAAGATCTGTGGTTTGACTGGAACATGGGAACTTCTACCACAGACACATATGCCAACCCTGGTCTTCTTGGTCTGATAGTGATTTGGGGTTAATGGATCCCCTAAAAAATTCATCCCCTGATGGTGGAGCCACTCCAGATCCTAGGTCCTTGTATAAAAGATACATGGTTTCTCACTCAGCCCAGGTTGGAAGCCTTTCTAGCTTCGTAATGCTAGCTGGGCTTAACCTTGAAGAAGACAGAAGGTCATTTCCACCCCATGATGGAACAGTGCAATGAAACCTTGTTCTCTGCAAAGCCTGGATTCTACAGAAGACGGCAAAACACACACACACACACACACACACACACACACACACACACAGACAGACACACACACTCACAACTCCTCCCTGCCCCCAAAGAAGATAAGATTAACTGGTGTCTCATGTCACATTAGGAAGTGAAAAGAGAGGAGAAAAAAGAAAGATGCCACAGTGCCTGAAAGTTAGATCTCCATAAAATCATCCATTTAGAGTCATTTAGAGGAAGCTTTTCATTTACTGCTTTGGAAATTCTCTGAAGTGACTTCCTCAGGGTCACACAGGTAATAAACAAGAGTCAGGATTTGAACCCAAGGCCTGTGACTCAAAAGCTAGTGTTCTTTCCAATGTACTATGCTACTCCAAAAGACCCTCTAGGGATAAGAACAGCCAGGCTGTGTAGAAAGCAGTGAGGTGGCACAATGGATAAAGTGATTCAGTACCAGACCTGAAGTCAGGAAGACCTGAGGTCAAATCTGGCCTCAGACACTTCCTAGCTGTGTGACCCTGGGCAAGTCACTTAACCTTGTCTGCCTTCGTTTCCTCATATGTTAAATGAGCTGGGGGAGAAAATGGCAAATCACTCCATAACCTTTCCAAGAAAACTCCCGAAAGGAGTCATGAAGAGCTGGACAGGACTGAAGATGACTGAACAACAAAAAGAGAAAACGTCACTGAATCACTAAGCTATACTGATAGTTAGCATTGACGGAAGGTTTTAAGGTTCATTATTATTGAAGGAATATTTTCTCATTCCATTTTCATTTTTATTACCATTTTACAGATGAGGAAATAGAGGCGCATGCACTAGCCACTGAGACACTTAGCTAAGAGTTGTTTCTTTTTGCCTTGGAGCATTAATAGAAATATGATAACTAGGAACAGCTAGGTGGCACAGTGGATAGAGCCCCAGCTCTGGATTCAGGAGGACCTGAGTTCAAATCTGGTCTCAGACACACAACATTTACTAGCTGTGTGACCCTAGGCAAATCGCTTAGCCCCATTTCCTAGCCAAAAAAAAAAAACAAGAAAAGAAAAGACAAGAAAAGAAAAGAAAAGAAAGAAAAGAAAAGAAAAGAAAGAAAGAAAGAAAGAAAGAAAAGGAAAGGAAAGAAAAAAAAGAAAGAAAGAAAAAAGAAAGAAAAGAAAAGAAAGAAAAGAAAGAAAAGAAAAGAAAAAGAAAAGAAAAAAAGAAAAGAAAACAAAAGAAAAGAAGAAAGAAAGAAAAGAAAAAAGAAAAGAAAGAAAAGAAAAGAAAAGAAAAGAAGAAAAGAAGAAAGAAAGAAAAGAAAAGAAAAGAAAGAAAAGAAAAGAAAAGAAAGAAAAGAAAAAAAAAGGAAAGAAAAGAAAGAAAAGAAAAAAAAAAGAAAGGAAAGAAAAAAGAAAAGAAAAGAAAAGAAAAGAAAAGAAAAGAAAGAAAGAAAAGAAAAGAAAAAAGAAAAGAAAAGAAAAGAAAAGAAAAGAAAGAGATATGATAACTGAAGTCATCTGAAAAGGCAGGGAGGGTTGAGGAGAAAGATAGGAAAGCACAATGTACTCAGCAGCCTCAGCTATAGATCTCCAGGGTAGAGTAAACTTTGCTGCTGCAGTAAACCACAGGAATCACAGAATTTCAGAATTAGAGGGGACCTCAGGGAATATTGACTCCAACTGAGAGCTGAAACAGGAGTCCATCTCCATCATTTTACAGATAAGGACATCGAGGCTGAGGGAAGTCGACCAATCCAAGACCATATAAGCAGAACCCAAGGTCTCTAGTTGGGGGAACTTAGGATCTGACCTGAGGATTCACTATGTTTGTTTCTACCAGTGCTAAGTAACACCTAAATTCCTATGAAAGACACATTTTTCTTCTGCCTGAAGGAAAAGGTAATGAGGCATGACTAATGATTTATCAGGGAGAATGAAGGGTTCTTAGAAAGAATGGAATTGTTTCAGAGGAAAAAAAAAGAGGGGAAAAAATGGATCTGAGAGACAGAAAAGACATCCAAACTATTTCGAAGAGGCCAGAAGAATGTGGCAGAAACAGAGAAGGAGGGAAAGGCAAAGGTAACGAAAACAGCCCAATGAGCCATGTGCTCTGCTAAGACTGGATTATGCAGAAGACAGAGAATCAAGCCAGGGGAAAGATGAGATGAGCAGAACCTTTGGGGCTACTTCACAGGCTTGCCACTTTCTCCAGGTAGTGAGGCACACTTGATCTGCACCTTGAATGAAGCTAGGAGGTTTTAAATAAAGGGGGATGTTGAGGGAGAGGGTGAAAGCCCTTCAGGACCACTGGAGAACCTGTTCTCCAGGCTCCCAGATCTAGAGTGAGAAGAAACCTTAGTCCAATGAGTAGAAGTTGCAGGAATTTTGGCTCAGTATAAAGAAATCTTCCCAATTATCAGAGCTGTCCCACACAAGGGAACAGATGAGGAAAGCAATACCCAGAGAGACCAAGTGATTTGCCCAAAGTCACATAGCTAGCAAGTGCCTGAAGTGAGGTTTGCACTTAGGTTTGTGCTAAGTGATGTACGATTGACCTAGTGTGCTTAACTTGTCGGTGATGTTTACTTTTCTCTCCTTCCTCTACAGCAACACAGAGATATATAAGATGTCCTCACTGGAACCTCAGCATGCATCATTAGTAAATGACCTCTGGAGCTTTGGGGGAAACGAGAGGAGCCTGAAATTCATCCAGCGTTGTATCCAGCACTTCCCCAGCTACTGCCTGCTGGGGCCAGAGGGGACACCAGTGTCCTGGAACCTAATGGACCAGACGGGAGAATTGAGGATGGCAGGAACCCTGCCCGAGTATCGAAGGCAGGGCCTAATTTCCCATATCATCTACCAGCATATCCAGGATATGGACAAAAAGGACTATCCTATGTACTCCCACATTGCTAAGGACAACCTCCACATGCAGCAGATGATCCACAGCTTGAAGCTGATTTGTGCCACCTACTACTGGCAACAGTGGAACTGTGAGCCTCTCAGGAGGTCTGCAACCGAGGACAGTGAAAGTCAAAGCAAGAGGGAGGGTGGCAGTGGGGGCAGGGCATAGTCTTCTTCTCCAGAGGAATCTGGGATTGTGGAGGGATGGATGGATGGAGTGTTAAGTATATGTAACTGATGGGCCTCTCATTGTAGAGTATCAAGCTTAAGTAGGACACACTGATTTCCTTGTATAAATCTCATCATGATATCAAGACCATTGGCTCTCTTTCTCCTGGGGCATTTCCCCTCCTACCTGGTCTATCTGTTAAGAGAAGGTTTAGAGGTCCCTGGGAGACGCACGGCCCCTATAAAGAGGGAGGGTGTTGTCTAGGAGGCTTCGGAGTCCACGGTAAATACCTGTCCCTTCCAGTTCAAAATGATCCCAAGCTGGTAGCAGCAATTTTCTCCCTGTACTAGACTCTGCTGGTACCCAGAGGGTGGGCCTTAGATGCCTTTGGAGTCAAATGGCTGGAACTCTGCTGCCCACCTCCCTGGGTAGCCTGGGGCCAGGATCACAGAACTGGGAGGGACCTCAGAGGCCACCTAAGTGAACCCCCTCATATTACAGATGAGGAGACTGAGGCCCAGAGAGGTACAGCCCAAGGCTGCACAGGTAGTAAATGGGATAGCTGGAACTGAAACCCAGGTCTTCTGATTTTTAATCCATGACAGTTTGCACAGCTGCCCCATGGACCTCAGTTTCCCACTGTGTAAAGTGAGGAGTCTTCAAGATCCCTAAAGTCTCTTCTGGTTCTAAATCCTATGATTTCCTTCTCCTGTTTATTTCACAGATGAGGAAACTGAGGCAAACAGGATTAAGTGACTTGCCCAGGATCACACAGCTAGCAAGTGTCTGAGGCAAGATTTGAACTCACTCAGATGAGTCTTCCTGGCTCCATGCCTCACACTCTATCCACTGCACCACCCAGCTGGCCCTCTCTTGTTATAATTGTGAGGTATCTAGATGGTATAGTGGCTACAGAGTCAGACTTGGAATCAGGAAGACCCAAGTTCTAATTGTGTCTCAGATATGCAAATAATTGTTGGGATAATAATTTTAACTGCACAGTCACGTGAAAGTCACTTTCCCTCTGCCTCAATTTCCACGTTTGTAAAATATATAGCTGTTGTGAAGATAAAATGAGATCCTTAGAAAACACATTGGGAATTTGCACTAATTCTGGTAGTTTCTTGGCTCATTCTTCATTATCTGTCTTGATTACAGTTATAATAAAACCAGATAAGTATAAGATGGAGACAATATTCTTTCTCAAAGGATTCCCAGCTTAGCCCTTGCAGGCTGTAAGGATGAGAAAATGCTTAGAAATTATTGCCTTTAAAATGTTTTTTAAAGTTTCTCATCTTAATGTATCTAGAGATATTAAATAATGTTTTGTTGCTCTAGAAAGCCCTTTTCCAAATCCTAGGGAAAGATCACTAGAAAGGTGGGTAATTAATTGTATATCAAAAAGCTTTTCTCAGGAAAATGAATTAATCAAATTAATGAAACTTAACTCTAGTCTGTTACATCTCATTGTTCTCTGCCTATCTCAGCTGAATGGCAATGGGACCCACCCTAACCATTCAGAATGAAGATACCTTAGTCATTGCTGGCAAGATTGTTTCCAGAGTTCTCCTTAATGAACTGATCCTTCACCTGGAGATGATCACCTACCCGAGAGCCCATGTGGCTTCAGAAAGGGCCAAGGAATGGTAGATATGGTGTTTGCTACCTGACAACTCCAGGAGAAATGCTAGGAGTAGAACAGAGGACCAATGTATTCTGACTTAGAGATAATCAGATGAGATAGGTTAATATAGTAGGCCTCAAACTTTAATGTAATGTTCACTACTTGTTTACCAGTTATGAAGCTCATTTACATAACCACAAGTTCCATATCCATTTTAGTCAAGTTCCATATCCAAATCCAGCATGGGTGGGATGCCTTGATGCTGTGGAAAGTCTTCTAACTTATTTTAGTACCTCCAGAACACTCTCTTTTGTCCAACACGAGGAGGTGACCATCTTATGACCACTTAATCAATGGCAATGCCCCATGCTTCACCCAACCTGTGACCTCCTTGCTCATACATAATTTTTGGCCCTTAAGAGTAGGGTCTATCAGTCAAAGTGATTCTATATTTTACCATCTCTTTTGCATATTTGGGCTACAAATCCTATAAAAACAAGGTTCTGGAAAGGGGCATCTCAGACCATGAGGAAGATCTGAGCTCCACTTCATTAGTGGGGACCCTGGACCCTTTAATAAAGTGCCATTGTCTGAGAGCTCTTCCTCAGTGGTTTTTCTTGTAGTTTGGGCCAGTTCAATCCCCATGTTGGTGGCATCCAGAGATGGGACAGTCATGCATGGACCTCAGTCTCTTTAGGACGGCCTCTGCAGGGTACCGAAAAGGGAAGTGCACACCAGGTTGAATTTTTGCCAATGGCTTCCCCAGGAACGCCAGCCCAGGGTGGTTGGACTCTTCTCACTGTCTATACCCAAATTCTCCGACCCTGAGGTAAGTCTTTCTAAACTGAATGTTGGGTGAGTCTGCCATGATTTACCCTAAATTCGTATTTTTTATGGAGAGCCCCTAAGAAGGAGTGTTTAACGTTGTGACTAATTTCTCTAAATGTGTAAGCTCCAGATCACTCAAATTTCATATTTATAGAAGTTATGTAGCTATAATTTTAACTTTTTAAACATGGGTTACTTTTTTCCCCTTTTCCCTCCATTTTCTTTACTTTCATTTTGTTAAAGATTCAGTAGTGGAATGCTAGTTACTTATTTTTCACCCAGATGGTCACTTAGCTAATTTTGAAATTTCCTATTGGCAGGGTGAAAATAGATAGTTTTTTTACCTTAAAATTTTTTTAACAAAGAGTAATTAAATAATTTTTGTCAACAGTAGAACAGTGTGATGGTGAAACTCGGTAAGCTTTCAAGACATGTGACCACCCTGTGAACAATCCCCCCTTTTCCGATCTCAGAAGAAGGTGCATTTTAGTTTTACAGAGATGAGGACAAGACAAGGCTCTCTTTCACTTAGTTAGTAAGGTTATTATCATTTAGATTCTCAGGATTAAGTCAGTTGCTGATAATTAAAGCTAAATTTTTAGGAAGTTTGAAAGGAAAGCGGGTATAAATTTTGCTGACTATTCATTTATAGAGAATCTTTAGGCTCTAGTAGACCATCTAAGGACACTGAAAATGAAAAACTGGAAGTTTTGGAGAATGTAGGAGATGGAATTTTGCAAACCAAGCTGTTACGCTTCCACAGATATTCTTGTCTTAAGAAAGGGTTAAGCCGCAGGTGGATAAAAGAATATGCTCTTAGATAAGCATATGTTGTTTGGAAAATATAATGTTTGCATACATCCTGACCAAGAAAGAACTAAGAGAGCTGAGACATGACAAACAGCTCGAGTCCAAGCAGTCATCCTCCGGTCACAATCACCCCAATAATGCACTTGTTCGATAAGGCATATGAGGGGGAAGATAGTGGGGAGTCCATGTTAGGGATCAATAAGGAAGAGTTTTAACCTGGAAGAGTCTGGACCAATTCAGATTCTGATGTCAAGAGCAGGACTATTACAAAAGTTTGTTCTCACTTCTGTAGAGGTGTGCATGTTTTGTGTGAACAGGACACCCGCTTCTGGCAAGAACAGAAATAAATGCCTTCCTCCTTACACTCTATTATTTGCAGTCTTTATGTGTGAGGAGCCACCCCAGTAAGGCTTGCAACCAGGCAAGCAGTGGGCAGCAGCAGCTAGCCTAGGCTTACTCCCTGATCCTGCTTGGAGGTCAGACAGTCATCACATACAGGTTATTTCTCACAGGGAATTTACCAAAGTTTACCAGTTCCCTGAAGATCACAGTGTTAGCTGTAGGAGAAAAAGTTCCACATAGGATGATCTCAGGTGGATAGAAGATTGCCTCCCAGAATTCCTAATTGAAGGGGGGCCATCTCTAGCATCTTCAGGGGAAAACTTCTCAGATGAAATAAGACCTTGTGTGAAAGTGGAATGGGCTGTTGTGAGAGGTAACCAGCTTCCCATCAGTGGAGGTCTTGAAGCAAAGGCTGAATGATCATTGTTGGGGAGGGTATAGAGAGGATTCAGTCAGGTATACATGAGGGTGAAGAGATGGTTTCTGAAGTCTCATCTGATTTTCAGATCCTGTGACTCTTCCTAGTTGAATGTCTTCACTTCCAAGGTCAGGAGCCGATTACATTTTCTGAAATGTCCAGGACCCCTTTTGTGAGACCATGCATTGGTCTTTTCCTCAGGCATTAATTCTGCTGATAATGTTTCTCCTGAGTGTCTGAATAATCACTTGTGGAATTTTTTTTTCCCCTATAGGTATACAGGCTGACTTAAACGAGGTGATAAATAATGTTGCAAAGGAAAAATCAGTTCAGGTCATGGCGACACACCGATATCTCTATTTGATTTCTGAAACAATGAAAAAACATGCACCTTCTCAGCAAAATTTGGATCAATTATATACCAAAACTGAAAAACCAAAAACAAAAGTGTAAGTTCTCTAAAAGTTGAGTCATGCACAGATATTCCTTACTCTGTAGAAGATGTGTTGTGGTCTAGTTGGCTAGAAAGTGAATTTCTATATGTCAAATTCTGTTTTCCCACTGATTTCCATGTCAAAGGTAGAACAACCCTCTCCTTTCCCCATCTGATTAAAGGGAGGACTTCTAGCATGGTAAAGACCAAAGCAGTGGTCAGTCAGGCCTTTGCTACTCTTGTGTTCTCATAAGTGCTATAAATTAGCTGCTCCTGTTCTGGGATTTTCTTATGCCTGACATCTCCTATTGACCTTGCAGAGATTATATGACCATCTTATAAATATGATAATCTCCAGACTCTGTGGGCACAAATCTTAGAATTTGTTCATCTTTCTTCTCTTCTTCACTCTTTGCTTGGATATTCATATTGCCCATTAGAACAATACTGTCATTGCATATTTCCCTATGAAGAATAATGTCAGGGCAACTAGGTGGTGCAGTAGATAGAGCACTGGCCCTGAATTCAGGAGGACCTGAGTTCAAATCCACCCTCAGACACATAACACTTACTAGCTGTGAGACCCTGGGAAAGCCACTTAACCCCATTGCCTAACAAAAAAAAAAAAGGAAAAAAAAAAGAAGAGAAAGAAGTATGACAACTGAAGTCATCTGAAAAGGCATGGCGGGGAAAGGAGGGAGAAGAAAGATAGCAAAGCCTAATGTACCCAGGAGCCTCAGCCATAGATCTCCAGGGTATAGTAAACTTTGCTGCTGTAGTAAACCACAGGAATCACAGAATTTTGGAATTGGAAGGGACCTCATGGGATATTGACTCCAACTGAGAGCTGAAACAGGAGTCCATCTCCATCATTTTAAACGTAAGGAAATTGAGACCCAGGGAAGTCAACCATTCTAAGACCATGTAAGCAGAATTAGGTGGGATTTAAACCCAAGGTCTCTAGTTGGGGGAACTCAGGATCTGACCTGAGGATTCATTATGATTGTTTCCGCCAGTGCTAAGTAACAAGTAAATTTCTATGAAAGACGCGTTTTTCTTCTGCCTGAAAGAAAAGGTAATGAGGCATGACTAATGATTTGTCAGGGAGAATGAAGGGTTCTTAGAAAGAATGGAATTGCTTTCAGAGAAAAAAAAGAGGGAAAAAAAGGATCTGAGAGACAGAAAAGACATCCAAACTGTTTCGAAGAGGCCAGAACAATGTGGCAGAAACAGAGAAGGAAGGAAAGGCAAAGGTAACAAAAACAGCCCAATGAGGCCATGTGCTCTGGTAAGACTGGGTTATGCAGAAGACAGAGAATCAAGCCAGAGGAAAGATGAGATGAGCAGAACCTTTGGGGCTTGCCACTTTCTCCAGGTAATGAGGCACACTTGATCTACTCCTTGAACAAAGCTAGGAGGTTTTAAATAAATGGTGAGGGAGAGGGTGAAAGCCCTTCAGGACCATGGGACAACCTGTTCTCCAGGCTCCCAGATCTAGAGTGAGAAGAGACCTTAGTCCAATGAGTAGAAGTTGCAGGAATTTTGGCTCAATATGAAGAAAAACTTCCCAATTATTAGAGCTGTCCCACACAAGGGAACAGATGAGGAAAGCAATACCCAGAGAGATCAAGTGATTTGTCCAGGGTCACATAGCTAGCAAATGCCTCAAGTGAGGTTTGCACTTAGGTTTGTGCTAAGGGATCTATGATTGACCTAGTGTGCTTAACTTGTCGGTGATGTTTACTTTTCTCTCCTTCCTCTACAGCAACACAGAGATATATAAGATGTCCTCACTGGAACCTCAGCATGCATCATTAGTAAATGACCTCTGGAGCTTTGGGGGAAATGAGAGGAGCCTGAAATTCATCCAGCGTTGTATCCAGCACTTCCCCAGCTACTGCCTGCTGGGGCCAGAGGGGACACCAGTGTCCTGGACCTAATGGACCAGACGGGAGAATTGAGGATGGCAGGAACCCTGCCCAAGTATCGAAGACAGGGCCTAATGTCCCATGTTGTCTACCACCAGATCCAGGATGTGGACAAAATGGGCTATCCTATGTATGGCCACATTGCTAAGGACAACCTCCACATGCAAGAGATAAGCCATAAATTGAAACAGATTCGTGCCTCCTACCAGTGGCAGCAGTGGAACTGTGAGCCTCTCGGGGGTTCTGCACCCAAGGAGAGCGAAAGTCAGAGCAAGAGTGAGGGTGGCAGTGCGGGCAGGGCGTAGGCTTCTTCTCCAGAGGAATCTGGGATTGTGGAGGGATGGATGGATGGAGTGTTAAGTATATGTAACTGATGGGCCTCTCATTGTAGAGTATCAAGCTTAAGTAGGACACACTGATTTCCTTGTATAAATCTCATCATGATATCAAGACCATTGGCTCTCTTTCTCCTGGGGCATTTCCCCTCCTACCTGGTCTATCTGTTAAGAGAAGGTTTAGAGGTCCCTGGGAGACGCACGGCCCCTATAAAGAGGGAGGGTGTTGTCTAGGAGGCTTCAGAGTCCACGGTAAATACCTGTTCCTTCCAGTTCAAAATGATCCCAAGCTGGTAGCAGCAATTTTCTCCCTGTACTAGACTCTGCTGGTACCCAGAGGGTGGGCCTTAGATGCCTTTGGAGTCAAATGGCTGGAACTCTGCTGCCCACCTCCCTGGGTAGCCTGGGGCCAGGATCACAGAACTGGGAGGAACTCAGGCCATCTAAGCAAACCCCCTCATATTACAGATGAGGAGACTGAGGCCCAGAGAGGTACAGCCTAAGGCTGCACAGGCAGTAAATGGGATAGCTGGAACTGAAACCCAGGTCTTCTGATTTTTAATCCATGACAGTTTGCACGGCTGCCCCATGGACCTCAGTTTCCCACTCTGCAAAATGAGGAGTCTTGAAGATCCCTAAAGTCTCTTCTGGTTCTAAATCCTGTGATACTCTATCATCCAGCCATTTCCTTCTCCTGCATGTTTATTTCACAGATGGGGACATTGAAGCAAACAGGATGAAGTGACTTGCCCAGGGTCACACAGCTAGTAAGTGTCTGAGGGCAGATTTGAACTCAGGAACATGGGTCTTCCTGACTCCAGGCCCAGTGTTTTGTCCACTGTGCCACTGCCCGCTATCTCCAACACATCTTTGTATTTACTGCTAGTTCAGCATTCCTATATCCCACTCCCCAACATTCAAGAAAAACTCACAGGTCCTACTGTCGATGAAGGACATCAGTCTCTCTTTTTTTTTTTTAGGCAAGTGGGGTTAAGTGACTTGAACAGGGTCACACAGCTAGTAAGTGTCAAGTGTTTTAGTATGAGGTAGGATTTGAACTCAGGTCCTCCTGACTTCAGGGCCTTTGCTCTATCCACTGTGCCACCTAGCTGCCCCGAAGGACACCCGTCTTAAGGTCAGGCACCTGGGTTGGACTCTTGACTTAGTCATTTAAAATCTGGATGACCCTGAGGAAATCATTTCCCTCCTTTGAACCTGTTTCATAATTTGCAAAGCAGTAGTGGTGATATTTGCCCTGGGACCAATGAGTCCTAATATACTTCATAAGCCTTAAGGTGCATAACCCCACGCAAGACATTTCACTCGTTTGGGCTCAGTCTGTAAAATGACAGGGTTCACTAGTTGGGCCTCAATGGCCCCTCTAAGGTAGGTCCATGATCCTAAAAATCACAATACAACTTTTATTTAGGAAAATTGGATTTAGAGCTGGAAAAGGCTTTAAGAGTCACCTGGTCCAACCTTCCCACCCCTATCCCTCTTATAAGTAAGGAAAACAAGGCCCAGAGAGGGAGGCGAATGGCTGGTAAACAATAGCTAGTAATAGTAAGTAATAATAATTAATTAACAATTAAGTAATAGCAGTAATAGATAGTAAGAATCAGATCATGAATTTGAAGCCAGGACCTCAGAAAAGCAGATGGGACTGATGAAACAGAAGCTAGATGGAGAAACAAAAGACCTGGGCTCAAATTCCAACTATGCTACTTACTATTTTGATAAACTTGGGCGAGTCTTTTCACTTTTCTGAGTCTCAGCTTTCCCATCTGTAAAAGGAAAGAGTTAGGTTGGAGGAATGCTATGGCATTTCCCAACTCAAACTCCAGTGACTTCAAAGCCATTCTTTTTCTGGATAGCATACTGCTTGGAAGCATCATCAGAGGCCTTCAATTCTTTGCCCCTTGGCCATGCTCTGGCCTTGAATATGAATTTGGGGTCATGAAGCCATGAACCACTTGCGATTTCTACTTCCCCCAATCTAAAAAATAGACATAAAACTGTAATTATATTTCTTACTTTTAGATTTAACAACTTGTTTTTATATCATATTCATTTCCAGCTATAAATAAGGCTTCCCTTGTGACAAAGATCAAGAAAGGAAAAAAGTTCAGCAAAAATAACACTGACTTAATCTGACAGCATATGCAACATTCCACCCCCATAGTAGTCCACCTTTATAGTGAAAGGGTAGAGGTACATTTCCCCATCTCCTCTCCATGGCCAGATTTGATTGTTAGGATTATACCAGAGCTCAGTATAAACAAAGCTGGGTCTCAGTCAACTAGTATTTATTAAACAGCAAACATGTGACAGGCACCACTAAGTGCTAGGAATATAAAGGCAAAAAACAGCCTCTTGTCTCCTCTAATGAGAGAAACAAAGGCCTGAACAGTCCCTACTCACAGTCTAATGGGAAGAACACAAGCAAACAACTCTATACTAAATATGGGATAAATTCAAGACAACAAATGAAAGGCAATATCCTTAAGAGGAACAGATAATTAGCTGAAACTTGAAGGAAACCCAGAGAAGCCAGGAGGCAGAAATGAGGAGGGAGGGGGGTGGAGCCAAGATGGCAGAGTGAAAGCAGTGACTTGCTTAAGCTCTCCCCCAAACCCCTCCAAATACTCATAAAAAATGGCTCTAAAAAAATTCTGAAGCAGCAGAACCCACAAAAAGACAGAGTGAAACAAATTTCCAGCCCAAGACAACCTGGATGATTGATCAGAAAGGTGTATTGAGCCGGGCTGGGAGTGCAGTGCAGCACAGCATGGGTGCGCAGGCCATAGCAAACCTGGAGCAGGCCTCAGAGGACTGAATCGCAGGCAGCTGTGGAGGTTTCCAGGCTCCTCAATCCACGAACTCCAAAGACAACTTAGAAGGTCAGTGGGAAAAGTCTGTTTCTGTCGGTGCTGAGACAGGAAGGTGAGGTTTCAGCTCCATTCCCCAAGAGTGGGGAGTGGAGGGGGGGAGCAGCTGCTTCCCTAGCTTCCGGCCCACAGACTGAGGGGGAATCCAGTGGCTGATCAGAGAGGGATTGCAGGGATCTTTTGCTTTGCCCGTGTGTGGATCTGGGTCACAGTTCTGGGCGGCGGTGCTGGGGTGATGAGAAGCACTGGTGGTGTAGCTTGCAGTGGTTGTGGAGAGGAGCCCCTCCTCACAGTTACAGGACAGAAAGGAATACTTGTGGTCACAGGCCAGGAAAGGAGTAAACACCTCACCCCTCATCATACCACCTTGGAAGAACTGAAAATTTACAGGTCCCCACAAGTATCTCTGAAAACAGCTGTACAAACCCCTGAAGCTTGGGACAGTACATTCTCCACATTGGAAGCAGACTCTTACCTTAACAAAGAGTTTAAAACTCAAGTAATTGGCCGGGATCATGAGCAAGCAGTGCAAAAAGAGTCAGACTATAATCTTACTTTGGTGAAAAAGAAGATCAAAATACACAACCAGAAGAAGACAACAAAGTCAAAGCTCCTACATCCAAAGCCTCCAAGAAAAATATGAATCAGTCCCAGGCCTTGGAAGAGCTCAAAAGGGATTTTGAGAAGCAAGTAAGGGAAGTAGAGGAAAAAAAATGAGAGTGATGCAAGAAAATCAAAAAACAAGTCAACAGCTTGCTAAAGGAGACCCAAAAAATACTGAAGAAAATAACACCTTAAAAAATAGCCTAACCCAAATGGCAAAAGAGGTCCAAAAAGCCAATGAGGAGAAATGCCCTAAAAAGAAAAATTGGCCAAATGGAAAAGGAAGTCCAAAATTACTGAAGAAAATACTTCCTTAAAAATTAGAATAGAGCAATTGGAAGATAGTGACTTTATGAGAAATCAAACACAGTAAACAAATCCAAAAGAATGAAAAATTAGAAAACAATGTGAAATATCTCATTGGAAAAACAACTGACCTGGAAAATAGATCCAGGAGAGAGAATTTAAAAATTATTGGACTATCTGAAAGCCATGATCAAAAAAAGAGCCTAGACCACCTTTCAAGAAATTATCAAGGAAAACTGCCCTGTGATATATTAGAACCAGAGGGCAAAATAGAAATTGAAAGAATCCACAGATCTCCTCCTGAAAGAGATCCCCAAAGGAAAACTCCTAGGAATATTGTAGCCAAATTCCAGAGTTCCCAGGTCAAGGAGAAAATATTACAAGCTGCCAGAAGGAAACAATTCAAGTACTGTGGAAACACAATCAGGATAACACAAGATTTAGCAGCTTCTACATTAAAGGACCACAGGGCATGGAATATAATATTCCGGAGGGCAAAGGAGATAGGATTACAACCAAGAATCACCTACCCAGCAAAACTGAGTATAATCCTTCAGGGGAAAAAATGGTCATTCAGTGAAATAGAGGACTTTCAAGCATTCTTGATGAAAAGACCAGAGCTGAATAGAAAATTTGACTTTCAAATACAGGACTCAAGTGGAACATGAAGAGGTAAACAGGAAAGAGAAATCATAAGAGACTTATTAAGATTGAACTGTTTACATTCCTGCATGGAAAGATGATATTTATAACTCATGAGACCTTTGTCAGTATTAGGGTAGTTGGAGGAAAAAAATTATATGTATGTATAGTAGATAGATAGATAGAGGGCACAGGGTGAGTTGAAGATTAAGGGGTCATATCTGGAGAATAAAATTAAGGGATGAGAGAGGATTATACTCGGAGAAGAAGAAAGGGAGAGGTAGAATGGGGTAAACTATCTCACAAAAAAAACACAGAAAAGTCTCTTACAGTGGAGGGGAAATGGGGGAAGGTGAGAGAGAATGAGTGAATCTTATTCTCATAGGATTTGGCTTAAGGAGGGAATAACAAACACATTCAATTGGGTATGGAAATCTGTCTTACCTACAGGAAAATAGGGGGAGAAGGGGACAAGAGAGCAGGGATGATAGAAGGGCAGATTGGGAAAGGGAGTAATCAGAAGTAAATACTTCTGAGGAGGGACAGGGTCAAAAGAAAGAATAGAATAAATGGGAGGCAGGATAGGATTAAGGGAAATAGAGTTAGTTTTTCACAACATGTCTACTATGGACGTGTTTTGCATAACTGCACATGTACAACCTATATTGAGTTGCTTGCCTTTTCAATGAGGGTGGGTGGGGAGGGAAGAAGAGAGAAAATTTGAAACCTAAAGTTTTAAAAACGTATGTTTAAAAAAAAAGTTTTCACAAGCTACTGGGAAATAAGAAATACAGGAAATGGGGTACAGAAGTCTATCCTGCCCTACAGGAAAATAGAAGGGGAAGGGGATAAGAGAAGGGGAGAGAGATAGAAGAGAGGACAGACTAGGGAAAGGGATATTCAGAATGCATGCCATCTTGGGGTGGGAGGAGGGGGGAGATGGGGTATAAATTTGGAATTCAAAAACTTGTGGGAGTGAATGTTGAAAGCTAAAAATAAATAAATTTAAAAGAAAAAAAAAGAAATGAGGAGGGAAAGTATTCCAGGTATAGGGGAAAGCCAGTGAAAGTGCTCAGAGTTAGAGAGATGGAAAGAAGGCCAGTCTCATTGTATCCTAGCTCTGGGATTGGGGTAGGGTGTAAAGCAGGCTAAAAAGGTAGAATAGGTGAGAGAGAAGATGGAGAGCTAGGACTTCAAAGACATCTTGTAACCCTGCCCTCAATTGTTACAGTACGTTTAAGACATAGTAACTCATCTGGCCTTCGCAACAGCCCTATGAAAGAGGGAATAAAAGGATATTGCAGAAGAAGAAACTGAGGTTCAGAGGAACTTCCCCTTACAGAGATTTTTTTTTATCCCATTCCTTTCTCACATTAGAAATGCCCTACATCAGCAGTTCTTCAAACTGCTATCTTACCAAACAGAAGAGAGAGAGAGAGAGAGAGAGAGAGAGAGAGAGAGAGAGAGACAGAGAGAGACAGAGACAGAGACATTGAAAGAGAGACAGACAGACAGACAGAGACAGAGAGACAGAGAGAAAAGAAATAGAGATGGAGACAGAGACAGAGAAACAGAGACAGAGACAAAGGGAGAGAGACAGAGACAGAGAAGAGAAGACAACATCTTCATGGCTATGATTACATGAAATGTATGTATCATATTCTTCCAGGCTTTTTACTGTCCTGGTCACTCTGGTAAAAAACACTCTCCAGCTTCTCAGCATCCTTTCTAAAATATAGAGGACAAAATGGAAAAAGAAAAAGCTGTACCAGGGCTCTGACACTGTGACCCTGGGCAAATCACAACATCTCTCTTTTCAGTTTCTTCATTTGTAAAAATGAAAGGCTTACACTCAGTGACCTCTAAGGTCCCTTCCAGCTTTACATCTCTGATTCTTTGTGGTCTGACCAGGGCAAAGGACAAGAGGACTATAGGATCCTAGAATTTAGAGATTATCTAATCCAATACCATAGTTTTATGGAAATTGACTCCCAGGGAAGTAAAATGACTTGTCCAGAGTTCCACAGGTTGCAGAATTTGTCATTCATATGAAGTTTTTGTGACTTCACAGATGGGGCACTCCTATCTACTAATCCTGGACTCTGCTACCTCTCAACTCAGAAGCCTCAGGCCATTATTAGATTTCTTGGGTGTGATATCACATATGGCTCATGATCTTGGAATCCATTGAAACCCCCAGAACTTTTTTCAGATGCCTCTTCTGACCTCATAACTTGAGAAGCTGATTTGTTTAATGCCAATATAAGAATATACATTTATTCCTATTAAATTTCATATCACTAAAGTTATTAAAATGTCCCTACTCATTGACCCAGAGATTCTACTGCTAGTCATCTATTGCAGAAAGGTACCCTATGTAACTAAATATTTGTAGCAGAATTTTGGTTTTGTAGCAGCAAAGAATCAAAATTAGATGACAAAACAAAATGTGCTACACTACTGTAATAGAATATTCATAATAACTAATTGATGTGGTTTAGGGATGCAGGAACTCCAGAATACTGAGGTTCAGGGCAGAGTTGTCTAGAAAGAATTCTCAGACTCAAGCAGTCTTCCAATCAAGTGGCAAAAAGTTTATTATAATGCTAATAAAGGCAGGCAGAGTTCCTTGGGGAATTTGCAACCTAATGGGGGTGATGCTAAAGCTTATATAGGAAAAGTTCAGTGCATTGTCTGCCAACCATGCTAATTAGGTGGTGAACACACAGTTTCTGTACCTTGGGCACAGGCGACATTCACTACTGGCATGGCTGTCTTGTTTGTGCAAGATATCCTCGAGAGTTGACGTCTATTGCTTGACCTCTAGATTATATATGGTAATTGAGGGAATTAGTACATGATAGTCCTGCTGGTATAAGACAGCCCTGTTCATCCGAGGGAAATTCTACAGAGGTCAGCTTGGTCTTGTAACAGGGAGAGACAGTTTGCCTCACTGGGGCCACTCGTGAGATATTGCAAGAGATAGAGTCTTTGGGCTGAGGAGAGATATGGTCCTAGGGCTGGGGTCCGAGCACAAGCACGCCATCACTGATGACAATGAAGAAAACAGAGAACCATGGGAAGATGTATGAGCTGAAACAAAGTGAAGTAGAAAGATGATAATACAATGATTTCAACAATGTGATTCAAAAGAACAAGTAAAATCAAAACTAAACTGAACAATGCATAATCATAATTATCCATTTTGGCCCCAAAGAGAAGAAAAGATGTACCTCTCTTCTTTTCAATTAAAAATCAAGTTAACTGTACTGTAGTCTAGCCCAGATCTTGTCATTCTGTCCACAAAAATGGAAGGCATTCTCCAGCATTCTCCTGATCTGCTTATCTAGTAACACCAGAAAAAGTAAGTTTAGTCTCACATGATCTGTTCTTGACAAAGCCAAGTTGGCTCTTAACCATCCCTGATGTCTTTTTCCAAGCAATCACAAGCTTTAATGTTGTGTCCTAGAATTTGATCAGGAATTGGGCATGATCACTGTTGGAACACTCCATTTTCCCTCCCTGTCCTTACTACCTCCACCACCCCATTATTGGTTTTTAGTTGGGACAAGGTTTGCTCTTTGGTCTTGTAACACCTTTCTCTCGGTGCAGGATGCCATCTGCCGGTACAATTCAGTCAACATCTGCCTGAGCTGCTTGCAGCCCAAACCCTCCAATGTCATCTTCCAGGCCAAGACAGAAGACTGTTTGTGCTTGGAGGCATAGAACAACTTCACTTTGGGCAGGGGGAGGGTCATTCCAGGAGTGCCAGCCAGTGTCTGGGCCAGACGCAGGGGCATTCTGCAAACTCTACTGTACCCAGAACCCCCTGCCCCTGGAACTACACTGCAGTCCTGTTGAAGTGAGCAACACGTCTAAGATGGGGTGTGGGCAGCAGTGCACCGGCTGCTATTGCTCTTCAAATGATGCAAGAACCTGTGCAGCACCCACTACTACCCCAATGTGATGTGCTTATCTACCTCCTCGTGCACTCCCACCAAGTCACCTGTATTCCCCAACTCTGGCTTCCTCTTTGGGGGACTGTACATCAGTACGCAAGGGGACCCACTTACAAAGACCCAATCGTGCCCCACCTACTTCCACCCCTGCTGGTCCTTGAAGATCCAAGAGCGTGTGTCAGCAGTGACCCTGAGATGGCTACCAAGGCTGCCATTCTCTTCAGAGGCTTCTTCAACTTTCAGATGGGCAATCCTGTGGCCGGCTTCCTGCAGGGGCAGAGCCCAGGGATCCTGAAGGAGCTCTTTTATTGGCACAGCACCATGGACTACCCCATGAAGTGCCCCTCTGGCTACAGCCAGCACCAGGCCTATCTCAGTGAAGGGCACCGAATCCTCTATTGCCTCGAAGCCAATAGGCTACTTGCCCAACAGGTGGCCCTTATTTACCTTCCCTCCCTTTCTCCAGCCTCCTATGCTAAATGAAAGCAACCCAAACACCCACCACCCCGGTGGACTCAGACGGAAGCCAGGTTTGGGTGAGTTCAAAGGGCACATCTGAACCCTGGCACTTTGTCAAGGGCCCTATAGAAGCCTTCTTTTCTGGGGGACCAGGAGCCTTCAGGGCGCAGTGTGGAGGCCATTGCTGGAGTCTGGATGTCCTTAATGTTTGCCCTGGTGATTGCTGCTGTTGGGGTAGTCTGGAGTATCAGATTCTACAAGAACAGGCAATATCTGGAATTGCAAGGAAGAAATTTGTGTTCACATTGGGGAAGGAATGTAGAAGACACCCAGATCAATATGGCATGAGTTTCCCTCCCCCACCCTTATTTTACATTTACCCTCCCCCCACCTCCTAATCCCCACCCTGGCCAATTCTCCTTCATTCTCCTTCAGCCTTAATAGAACTCAGAGTGCTTCTTTATCCTACCCAAGGCCCTGGACTCCATTTGCCATGGGAAAGAAGGTTATTGTCCAAGCTTCAAATTCTTGCTGGAGGTACCTTAGTAAAGCAGAAAGCAACCCACGGGGGAGATGGGCCTCTAACAACTTCTGAGGTCTTCAGGTGCTTTCTCCTTTCTTGGGTCTCAGGATGTATAGGTAGATAGATGGATGGGTGGATGGATGGATGGATAGATAGATAGATATTTATTGTTTCTGCCCTTGGGGACCTTACATTCTGATGGAGGAAAACTACGCATAAAAGAGAGCTAGAAAGGGGAGATGGTGGAGTGGCTTGCAGTCAGATCATAGAGTTATAAAACCGCAGAATAAGTGATCCATGGAGACCAGCCTCAAACCCTGGGGGTTTTCTAAAACAAAAACCAAACCCGATTTCAGGGTCAAACATAAGCTTAAAGGCGCCTGAGAAGGAATCGGGCCCTCTAAACTATTCCTAACAAATGGGCAATCCAGCCTGCACTGGAAACCAGTGAGAGAGAACACAAGACTGCTGAGGCAGCCCACTCCTGGCTAGCTCCAATCTGTAGGCTGTCTTTCCTTGTATCAAGCCTAAATCAGCCACTTGACAACTTCCTACCTCTGTCCTAGGAGTTCAAGCTGAACAAGCCCAGTCTCTTTTTCATGGGGCATCTCCTTGAGTACTGGAAGGCAGGTGTCCTGTCCCCATCCTCAGTCTCTCCAGCCCCCATACCCAGTTCTTTCAAATAATCCTTCAGCATCCCTTCAACCACATCCTCAATGCTCTTTAGTTTTAACCACAACCCCCCCCCAAAAAAAAATGAATACAGGTATGGTCTTGAACTAGGAATAAACCATCTGGCCTGAAGGTCCCTTGACATGTAAGGAGTCTTGTTTGTCCAAAGGGCAGGGCAATTTAAAAATACTATTTCAGCCTGGTGAATGGCACCTCTGGATAGTGGTTTTAATTTTAGTGTGATTTTCTACAGCCCAATTCTGTGTTTCGGTGTCCTCCTCTGCCTGATAGAATAATAAAGGGATTGTAGAGCATAAATTGTACTGGAACTGGCAGCAGCCAGTTAAATACAAAGGCAGATCCAGTTGGATACCAAGGGCTGTTTGGCATGCTTATCCTGTGAACTGAGATTCCTGTCCTGGCTTTCTCTGCCTCTGATTTGTGTTGTGTGTCTGAATCAAGTGTTCACTGAATTGGAGGTGGGTGGAAGGGGCTTTGAGTCTCTTGTCTCCTCTCCCTTTACTTGCATTCTTGAGTAAGAAAGAGGATCAAGATGAGAGGCATTGCTGAGGGATCCTCTGATACCTAAATCTAATCTCCTCTAATCTCCACAGCAAAAAAAGTGATGCCAGAGCTAACCTGACCCAGGAAGACCAAACAACTTGTGTGTAAGGAAACTTGGATTAGTGGGGATACTGGAGGAATTCATGGGGGCTGAGGAGAGGCAAAACATTAAAAAAGGAAGGAGGGTGCATTAAATTTCTCAGGGCTCAGGACTTGCCAGAAATCCCTTTTAGAGTAAGTTGAAATTTATTCCAGAAATATCTTGGTGCGTTTAAGTGCCTGAACTTGGTGGAAAGACCCACAAGAATGTCTTTTCTCAGCTGAATTCCTTCTGTAATTCTGTATGGTGTCATCTCATTCAAAATACTTCAGTTCAATTCAACTCAACATTTACTGAGCATTGTATTCCAAACCCAGGGCTGGGTGCTGGGAGGAGACACTAAGTTAAGACATGAAGTGGTCCTTGCTATGGAGGCCATGGTCTAGAACATCTGAAACAAATTAATCATTACCTCTTGAAATCTTTAGCTCACTTCTTGGCCTTCTCACGCTGTGTCCTTCCTATTCTTACAAATGTCTTCCAGTAAATTTATTTTTTAAAATCATTTCCATTTTTTTAAGTGAGCTTTTTCAAAGAACAAAGATCTTTTTTCTCTCCCTCTCTCTTCCTCCTACTGGAAACAAAAAAACAATATTCTCATAACAAGTATTCATAGGTAAGCCAAACATATTCCCACACTGGCCATGGCTGACAATGTATGCTTCCTTCTGCATCCTGAATCCATCCCCTCTCAGGCAGAAGGCAGGTGGTCTACTTCATCTTTGGTCCTCTGGAGCTAGGCTTGTGGACATGATGTTGATCTGAGCTCTTAAATCTTTCCAAGGTGTTTGTCTTTATGGTGTTGTGACGGTCGAAATGGCTCTCCAGTTTCTGTTCATTTCACTTGGCATTTTTGTGGGTACCAGTGCTGGAACTAGGCTGCTATCCCTCAGTCTCACTCCAGCACCCCAAGCTCCTTTCCAAATTAGGCAAAGGACATTCTAATGCTCCCCAATTAGGGCCTTGCTAATGTTTGTGATATTTTTCTAATGGTGCTGCTTGCTACCAAAACACCAAAGTATGCCTCCCCCCTCCCTCTCTGAGGCGCCTGGCCTCTGGGCTGGAAACCACTGCTTCCCCTAGATAACTCTCTTTGATATTCAAAATGGTAAGATTATTCCTATGAGCCAAAAAGAGGCAGAAAAGGGGCAGCTAGGGAGCACAGTGGATAGAACTCTGGCCTTGGAGTCAGGAGGACCTGAGTTCAAATCCGACCTCAGACACATAACACTTACTAGCTGTGTGACCCTGGGCAAGTCACTTAACCTCGATTGCCTCACCAAAATGCAAAAAAAAAAAAAAAGGGGAGAGATCGAGAGAGGCAGAAGAGAACACTAAAATGAGCTTGTTAGGTTAGCTATCAGGAGATCTGGGTTCAAATCCTGATTCAGCCACTTATTAGTTGTGAGGGACTCTCAGGGACCAGAGGCTCCGATACATCATAAAACAGAGATGATCACCCTTCACAGGACTGTTGGGAAGAATGCACGATGCAAACCCTATGGCATTAGAGTAATGAGAAATAGATAATGGATGGATGCAGGGGTCTTGGAAAACCTTAAAGTGCTACATCAACGTGAGTGCTGACGCCCACTACAACTACAACTGACACAGCCAGTTATCCTGATTTAGGATGCACAATGAAGGCCTTTGAGTAATATCTGTCCACTTCCGTCTGGCCAACTCCCTTTTCAGCAGGGGTTCTTAACCTGGGCTCTAAATGGGTGGACCTGGATAGATTTTAGGGGGTCCACGGACTTGGATGGGAGACAAAAATTGCATCTTTATTCTCACTAATGTCTAAGAACTGGTAGTTTGAGGACAGACTGAAGTATACTATTTTTCACTTTCTTTCATTCTTTTTCTTTTATTGCATTTGATAAATTTTGAAAATGTTTTACATGATTGCACATGTATAACCTATATCTGATTGCTTACTGTCTCAGGGAGCGGTAAAGGGAAGGAGGAAGGGAAGGACAGAATTTAGAACTCAAAACCTAAAAAATGTTAAAAATAATTGTAACATGCAAACAAAACATGTAATTGAGGGGGGAAATTAAATACATATTTTTTTTAAAAATCTGATTCTAAGAAGGGGCCCATGGATGTCCCCACACTGCTGCCCAAGGAGTCCAGGACCAAAAGCCTGATTCCTTGTCTGGGATGCTATCAGCCACAACTTACATTCCCACCCACATAGAGACACTTACACAGTCACCTTGACCTGCTATGTTTCTCATATCCATCCTCTCTTCCAGTCACAGCCTCCACTCTAGTACAGTTCACAACCCCTCTGCTCCTAATCTCCTCCATCCAATTTATCATCCACATGGCTGCCAAATTCCTACTCAGGTCTGACCCCTTGAGCAAGAAGTTTCTGTGGCTTCCTCGCCTCTGTGGTGAAATACAAACATCTCTGTTTGTCATATGAAGCCCGTTAGACTCTGACTCCAGGTTACCTTTGTAGGCTTATGCACCTTGTCCCTTTTAATGCACTCTATGTGTCAACCAAATGGGCCTGTTTTCCATCTCCTTTCTCAATGCTTTGTACTGGCTGTTCACCATTTCTGGAAATGATATGTCTACCTTAGACTCCCTTTAAGGTTCAGACTAAGGACTATTTTCTGTGGTAGGCCTTTTCCTGACCACCTCACTTGTTAATGTCCACTCTCTATATTCCTTTGTCCAGTTTATTATGCGCATATGTTGTTTTTTTCTAACACAATAGAATGTGTCAAAATATTTTGGAGATACCCTGCTTTCCAGAGCTAAGGCCTAACAAACAGGCCGTGCCCTGAGCTTGGCATAACAATAATCTTCTGTGCTCAGGGTGATATCACCCCCTGGCAAAGTGTATTACTTGGACCAGCACCAGGTGTTCACTGAGGGATTTAGCTCCCCCTGTTTCCCAGGACCGTCCATCACATGTTCACAATCCCTGTTCCTTGTCACTGACAGGTACTATTCTCCTGTTCTTGTTAGAGAGCTCTGGTTCTATACCTGGCAGAGCGTCCAAGACCCCTAAGATCTGAGACAATAGCTATTCCCATGCGACCCAAGAGTGCCTGTATTGTCCCAAGAAATGCCAACCATGGGAACTCTCTCAAGATCTAAGAATGATCGTGTTGTGGCCCACCCCTTTCATGAATATAAGTGGCCCCAGCCTTAGCAGCCTCAAGCCCTCCTTCTTAGGAGGGGGGGCTTCCACATGCATGCATCATTTTCTTCCCTCTGAAATTAATTACACCTCTGTTTTTGTCCTGACTGTCCTATCTTTAGCCTGCTCTGTTTGCCTCTGGACACCCACGGATTAGAGGCTGGTTCTGGAACAATTGACTTATGTAGGGTCCTAGAAGGCAGGAACTATTTTGATTTTTAGCTTTTGTTTGCCCAGGATGGATATATAACAGATATTTAATAAATGCATGGCTGCTCCCTCTACCCCCTTTGACAGTTTCTTCCTAAGTTAGAGAAATGGAATTGAGGAAAGTCAGAGAATTCGATGTGATGGTTGGGAAACACCTTGATCTAATGTTTTGTAAGATTTAGAGCTGGCAGAGACCTCAGAGATCATCCCATTCAAACTCCTCATTTACAGATAGGAAACTGAGGCCTAGCGAGGGGAATTGACTTGTCCAAGGTCGCACAGGTAGTTAGTAACAAAAGGTGCATTCAAGGCCAAGACCTTGGATTCCAAATCCCTGTACTCTTGTTGTCTCCAACGGTCTTACATGGTTTCTGTGGATTAATTCATTCAGCAAGCATTTATTATAAACCTACTATGTGCTAGGCACAGGATTCCAATTTCATTTCATCATGAACAGAAGCCAGACGGTGCTTTTCTTTGGGGAAGCACGTATGAAGGGAGAAGCCAGAAAGGGTCTGTCATTGCCAAAAGTCCAAGGATTTGCTGCTCTCGAGAGAAATAAGAGCTGGAAACTGAAAAAAAAAATTCTGTGATTTCATTAGAACACCCAGATGAGGAAACTCTCTTTAAACTAACATAGGTCATCACCTTCTCTGCAATTTCTAGCTTTAGAGAATTTCCCAGAGCACTGAGAGGTAAAGTGATTTGCCCAGAGCCACACAGCAAGTGTGTGTGAGATATGAGACTAGAATCCAGGTTTTCCTGGCTTGGAGGGAGGCTGATTGTCCTCCACTATGTCACATATTATCTCCATTTTACAAATGAAGAAACTGAGGCTCAGAGATGCTAGGTGACTTACTAATGGTCACACATGGCTGGCGTCAGAAGCCATATTTGAGTTCAGTTCATTCTAGGCTTTAAAATCTATGGTTCTCTAAATGCTTTGTCTTTCTGAATTGTAGGAATGTGAGGGGAAGGAGGAGGGATGTCACTATAAGCTGAGGGAATCATAGCGTCACACGGTGAAAGCTGGTCAGGGACAATGGTAGTGGTCATTCAATCCATTCTCCCACATTAACTTCAAATTTTAAGCCAGGACTTAGGTCCATATTCTATTTACAGGATAAAATTCTGGTGACTTCCTCAAGTTAGAAACTAGGTAGGATGGAAGAATCAGAAGAGTTGAATGTATTGGAATAGAATGGAATTGAAAGAATGGATGAACAGACATTAGGTTTGGAATCCTGGATCAAGGAGATAAGAGAGAGAGAGAGAGAGAGAGAGAGAGAGAAGAGAGAGAGAGAGAGAGAGAGAGAGAGAGAGAGAGAGAAAAGGGAAAAGTCAGTTGAGAGACACAGCCTCTTGTCCCTTCCAGAGGCAGAGTGCTACCATGGCTATAATGTGGTATCAGAGGTCAGGATTTTGGATCTCATCCTAGCCACTATCTGTGTGACTTTTGGACTTCAGTACAGTCATATCCAACTCTTTGTGACCCTATTTGGGGTATTCTTGGCAATGATGCTGTGGAGTGGTTAGCCATTTCCTTCTCTAGCTCATTTTACAGATGAGGAAACTGAGGCAAACAAGGTTAAGTGACTTGCCAAGGGTCACACAGCTAGTAAGTGTCTAAGGCCAGATTTGAACTCAGGAAAATGATTTTTTCTGATTTCAGCACAGTGCTCAATCCACTTCACCACCTAGATGATTTTGGGGCCTTCAATATCCTTGATGCATACCATTTGCAGGAAATGCACTTTACAAAGAAACCTTAAAAGGCTATACAAATATGTTACTTTTTCAGGTGTAGTGAAGGCAGGTCCCCGAATCCACTGAGTAGCCATTCTTCGTCTCCACCAAATACAGCTTATGGAAATGGGGTTCCACGGTAGTGAGTAAGATGTAAACCCTTAGGATGATTCTATGATTCTGACAAGGGGAAGAGGGGAATATTCGATCCATCTCAGCTTTTTAAGCCAAGGAGTAGAAATCAACCACTTGTCTTGAGGTTGTGAGGCTGAACCAGGTCCTCACTGCACATCCCTCTAGCTCTCACATTTTCTCCCCACTACCTTGTCTTTACAATAAGCATGAGAGGCGCAATACCGTGTGGCTAGAAGGTCAGGCCTGAGTAGAAGTCCTTTCTCCTGGCACTTGACATTTTGATGTTATTCCAGGTAATTGTCTAAAACGATCACCTATAAAAGAATTGCTGCTCTGAGTTAGTGGAGGGATTTTTCCATGCTGGGGCTTCCTACAGTAATAAAAATATAAGAATGGACCAGAAAACCAAGGTACCAAGCTTACTGGAAAGATACCATTGCTTGAGATTCATGTCAGCTCTAAGACTTTTCCCCGACTAACATCTGAAAAACATAAGTATAGCTACAAATAACAAATCAAGATTTTTAGTGGATTTCATTTGCTTAAAGTGAGATCTATTTGTTTTCTGTCCCCACTTTCTGGAAGGGGAATGGATAATAACTGGCATCTTTAAGGTCAGTAAACTGATTTCTTCACAACTCTGGGGTATAGAGTGCAAACATTGCCTTTTCATTTTATAAATTAGGAAACTGAGGCTTGGATTGGTTAAACGACTTACCCATGATTGCAGCTAGTGACCCTCGGAGGCAAGATTTGAACCTGGGTCTCTCCTGGGTAAGCCCAGCGTTCTTTGTAAAAGATCAAGCTTCTTCATCACTGTGCAGCTTCGTAGCATCTCAGGTCTGTGTTTCTGAAGTGGACTCGAGGGCACGGAGGGTGGTCGATGCTTACATGGCTGGTCTGAAAAGGGCGTGGGTGGGAGAGACAGACAGACAGACAGATGGATAGAGACACAGTCCCTCTCTTTCTCTGTCTCCTCCCTCCCTCTGCTTGTCTCCGGAGCTGTCATCAATTAGGCTGGGGCGGCCTCTAGTGGTCACAAGCTGAAACAGTCCAGTCTGTTAACCACCGCTGACTGGGGAGAAGAGACACCACTTTTGTGTCACAGAACATAGTGTCAGAGTTGGGACAGACCTCAGAGATCACCTGGTTCCAGTTCGCCCATTTTACAGATGAATAAATTGAGGCTTACAGACATGAACTCATTTGCTCAAGGGGCCGCATCTAGGTAGTGGCAGAAGTGGGAGGGACCTGGTTCATGGGAGTCGACACCAGTTTGGACATCTATGCTACCAAGCTGGATACAGCTTGGACTCAGATTTTGAGGAAGCAAGGTGGTGCAGTAAATAGAGTGTTGGACCTGGAGTCAGGAAGAATGGAATTGAAATCCAGCCTCAGCCACACTTAATAGTTGCGTTACTTTGGTCAAGTCACTTAATCTCTGCCTGGTAACAATAGCACCCATTTCCCAGGGTTGTTGTGAGAATAAAATGAAATATCTGCAAAGTACTTTGCAACCCTTAAGGCTGTATTTAAATGCTAATTAGCATCATCATCATCATCTTCATCATCTTTTGGACCTGAGACTTAGAGATGTGAAATGTCTTTGCCAAGGTCACATTGCTAATTGGTGGCGGAGCTGGGACTCCTAGCCCAGTGCTTCCCACTACAATAAGCTGATTCTTCTCTAGGTCAAGTGATGAAGCAGCTTTCTTAAAGTCACAGATTAAACTGTTATTATTAATTAAATTAAATTAAGTAAACAGATTAAAGCTCAGTGTTGAAGCTCATTTTATGGGACCAGCAGCATTCAAGAGAAATCTAAGAGTGAGAGTAAAGAGTTAGGGGTATGCTCCACTTGTGAAAAGAGGAAGGAAGACAAACTAATTCCAGAGGAAGAGAGGAAAGCTAAGAGCTCAGGAGGATTTATGCAAGACTACAGGGCCACCCAGAACAAGGGAGGGATGGGGTAGGGGGAGAGAGAAAGCACATGACTTAATGATTCAGTAGATAGGGGATGGGGGTTATGGACATCAGCAAAGCACCCAGAATCAGAAGATGGGGTATGCTAATTAATGAGTCGTTTAGTAATTTGTCAAAGCTTAGGGAAAGGCTGGCTACCCCATACCCCAGTCCCCCTTTCTCCTCCTTACCTCGCATGGAGATTACAATGCCACTAGATTAGGGTCTGAACAAGAGTAGGGCCCTGGCCTGAAGCTACCCACCAATAATGGTTTTATAGCATTATGCTGTAAACCACAGGTTAAAATTGTACCCAGGTCTAGGCTGGCATTTAAGTTTTCACTCAGAGGTTCAGATTAAAGTAAGAGAAGAGTCTGGGCTGGACTCCACCTAACAGGATTGAAGGCTCGTCTGTGCTTCCCCTCTGAAGACATTGTGCCATTTGGACCTGAGGATAATGGTATACAGAGGCTCCTGTGTGTTTCTGTATGTGTGACTGATTGCCTGGTGTATTTAGATATCGTCAACTCTTCGCAGATCTCATCATGCCCCTAAAAGGAATGCTTCAGTATGGGCAAGAGGCTGAATAACCATTTCCCAGGCCTCCTGTGGGCACTGGGCAGGGGCAATGAGATTTGATTGTAGGATGCTGGTCCAGGAATGCCATCTTCAGGTGGCTTGTGAGATCTTTCACAACTGGAAGTGAATGGACGCTTGGAACTAATGAAAATTAGTCTTTCCTGTGCCAGCCTCTTCTACATGATAGGGTACCCCAAGTGGAAATCAGTGAGAGACCAGCCCAGGGAGCAATCTAGCATCTGCCTGATGGTTTAAGGAGAAATCTACAGTCTTCCTAGGGGCCATATATTTGCCCAGCCCTGGACATTCTGCCCAGTGGTCTAATAGTGCTAATGGTTTGCCTAGTGATTCAGACAACACAATAAAATGTAACTCAGGAAGCCCAGTGCCATATCACTTGTGAAGTTCTCTTGTCCCACCTAACACAGAAAGTCAGGTTAGAAGAAAAAAACTACTGTCTGGATCCTGCAGGTGTGACAATTTTTTTTTTAATTAGGAATTATCATCTCTTGTTTTCCACACATTAAAGGGAGAGCAACAGGTGAAACTGAACTTGTTACATACTATGCATGACACATACATAGAAAAATTTAAATTAAGTGGAGTCTTTCAGGTCTCTGCTAGACTTCATGAAAAACTCAGGGATTTCCTGCTTCCCAACAAAGAAACCAGAGCAGGGAGATGGCCTCAGCTGTGGTCATCAGCTTGCCTTAGTTCATTGCTTAGGGATGATAAACCGTTTGACTTTGTTTCAGGGGGGCCTGAAACCATCCCACTACCTTTTAGAAGACTTCCATGTTTATGAGAAACTCATCTCCTTATTTCTCCAATAAACCCAACATAACCCCCTTACATTTTCCTGGGGAAGTAACATCCAAAATATGCCATTTCTGTCCTTTCCCTAACTCATACGACACCCACAAATCTCACTTGCTTATTTTTTCCAAAGGAGATAACCAAAACATCCCACTTTTTTTTTCTCACTTCAAAAATGATCTATTACATTAGTCTCTGCTCATCATGCTGAGCTGCCCTCACAAGGTGCTGAGGGTTGAGGGAGGGGGGAAGAGGCAGGGAAATGATTATCAATACAAAAATCATTCTAAAATGTCTACTAGACTTTTCCTGTTCTTGACACCCGAAGATGCAGAAAAGCCTAGTTTCTGTAAGATCATGTTATTTCCATGATTGGACTTTTGGTCCTGGTTCTTCGTAGTCATCTTCGTGATCCAATTCAAAAAAGATTAGGTGATATTGCTTTGATTGACCCCTATAGACTCTCACAGGCCCTGGGGGTCCAAGGAAGGAGGGGATCCTCCTTCAATTTTGGGGGAAAGTGGACTAGAAATTAAGGTGCAGAGATCTGCAGAAGGCAGGTCATTGCTACTGATTCGTCCTCACATTCTGGGGGTACAGCCAATTTGGGGCTTGCAGCACCCTATGTGTTGAATAGACATAATAATATTCAATGATGCAGACACTAAGATTCAGGCCAAGAACTCATTTCAGTTGAAGGAGTGTAAATAAAACTAACAAAACACACTCTAGAATCAACTTTTTTAGGTCAGAATCAACTTTTCCTTCAATATCCCAACTTAGACACATGCTCAGGAGATCTTAGAACTAAATCACCCTCTCATTTTAAATATGAAGAAAACTGAGGTTCAAGGGGTTAAGTGACTTGGCCAAGGTCACACAGGTAGTAATTTTTAGAACCAGAATTTGAAACCACATCCTTTGATCACAAATCCAGTTCTCTTTCTACTATACTACACTCCATGTTGTCCTATGGTTAGGCCTTCTGTTTCAGGAAACAGCATGGAATGGGAGTGGGGAGGAACAGGATTGGAATCATGAGGACTGGGCACTAATTCCAAGTAGATATTTAACTCTGTGTGACACATTGGGCCAAGTCACAACCTCTCTAGACTTTAATTTTCTCCTCTATAAAATTAAGGCAAACAGACAAGATTGCTGTCTAAAGTTCCTTCTAGTTCTAACATTCCATGGAAGGTGTAATCTCATTCATTACACACACACACACACACACACACACACACACACACACCCTCCTCAAGTTTTTCTTAAAAGAAGACAAAAATTCTCTTCCTTATCTATAGGTCTTCACATTTCTTGTGGCTAGGTTGTAAAATCCTTAGAGGAAGTAGATTATCTCTTTATAACATACATAAGATGAGACATTGATTCATTAAAAGTTATCAACACTATTATGCTACATACTTGAAAAGATGCAGACTTTCACCCCTGTGGTTTAGCAAGCGAACACCTACCATGCTCAGTAGCTGTTGAGTAACTAACATTTCTCCTTGGTCATTTTCCTGCCTCTTCTGTTTTATAATTAATTCCCCTGCCTTTCCAAGACCCCTTTGTCTAGTCTGAACTCTGCCTCTCATCTACCATACATCCGAGATCTCTTGTATCCAGAGGCTACTGCAGACTTCCTTCTTGGTCATCTCTGGTGGATTTGCTCAGAATCAGCAAGTTCAAAATTGATAACCACTCATTAAGAATTTCTAGTCATTTCCTTCTTCATTAACGAGGAAAGCTTTTCACACACACACACACACACACACACACACACACACACACACACATACACGCGCACGCACTGTGGATATTGAGCACCAGTGATGGTAACAAATGATTCCCTTATAGAAAATGTGAAAATCGTAAACAGGATATAAAATTAAAGGGCCAAAATCAAAACTTTATAGTTTGACTCCCTCTCCCCACAAGAGGAATACAAGACCACCTTTCTACCCTTTCCCCCCCAACATATAACTTCTGACTCCTATCAGGCCAGTGTTCACATTGCCTTGTGAACACATCAAGAGTATTCTCATTTCATGACTCTATATTCAGGGCTTTCCTCCGCCCAGCCAAGCCCTACTTATCTTGAAGGCCAAACTGCAGCCTCACCTCCTCTGAGAAGTGTTCCCTGACCACACAAGGATTCACCATCTCCCTCCTCTCAGTTCCTATAGCCCTACTTTCTATCTGATCAAGAAGTGAATTGCATCTTCTTTTCTGATATGTGTTGGGGGCAGGAGATGGGGGGAGAGGAGGAAGAAACCATCCTTATAGCAGTCTGGGTCTGAATGAGAATTTGTAATGATTCAGACATTGTATAGGGGCATCTCACATAGTAGAAAGACAGTTTTAAATTAAATGGCATACCCCAGGACTTTTTTGCAACATAAAACCTGCCAATTTCATCCATTCTGATTAACCAATTAGGTCATCTATAACATATATCACCCTCAGAAGTAATACAAGGATTTCATTCCCAATACTCTACAGTTAAGATTTTTTCACTAATCTGGAGGATTTATCCTCCCCTCTCAGCCTACCCTTACTTAATCCATTAGTTGGAGCTTCTGGTGTTTCAGCATCACATTCTCAGAGAATGCCTTGCGCTTGCCTTGTGACCTAGTCCAGAAATATGGCAACCAAGGAGTTCCATAAGCTTTTCTATCTGAATAGCAACATCATCTATCACACGTTAAAACATCTTAATTGTATTGTTCATAAGTATATTCAATCACCTAAAAAAAAGGGTCAGGTTATATGGTTAGTATGTGCCTAACCTAGTACTTAATAACTACAAATAAGAGACACTTCATTAAGAAATTAGAAATATGTTATCCCAACACTCCAGCGAGTAGGGTCAGAAGACTTGGAAGTCCTTTCCTGAAAGAGGCCAAAAGGTGTCTGTAGCTTTCCTCAGTTTCCTAGCAATGATAAGCGGCGTTTCTTTGGTCTAGGTCATAACCAAGGCTCTTTGCTACTCCAAATCCTGAGGTCCTTATACATTGTCAACAGGTTGTACTGAGAAGTTGTGCAATCACCTACACTCTCTTCATTGACCCAAGACATGTAATTATGCATTCATAAGCTCGGTCTCCTTCTGTCCCATGGCAACAGGCAAATAAGAGGAAACTGGAGTGGAATAAGTCAAAGGATCGTGACTGGTGATCCTGGATGTCTGGATTGCCTGGAGATCCCCATGGTCTCTTAATTTAGTGATGTGGTGAAGAAAACTATGTGAGAAAGCATTGCAGAGTCAGGGTCGCCCACTGACCCAAGCTTTGCTCGTGGTTCCTGAAAGGCAGGAATGGAATGGACCTTTCAGCATGACGTTCTTCCCAGTGTCTCCAGCTCGTCTTAAATCAATAAAGGTCATCAAGATGAGGAAGATGAGAACTGCATCTTTTCCACACGATGAATGCTACACTGCAGATGAGAGGAGAACAGCAAAGGGAGAAGCTACATCTGCTGGGCCTCAGCGAGCTGTTGGCTCCCACGGGTCGGGACCTTGTTCTGGCCAGGAGAGGAGATCCGACGGAGGTCATGGATGGACCTTACTGTCCACTGCGTGAGCTCCTGCAGCACCTTCAAGCCCCACAATTTCTTTTCCAAGAAGGTTTGGGGGCCACCCCCACCTGGCATGCTGTCAGTTTCTTGAGATGGGGCCTGATGTCCCAGCAGCGCCATCAACTCCTCTATCTCGTAAGCGAAGGCAGCCACTTGGAGCAGGACCCTGTGGATGTTCTGGTGGAAATCTCTTTCTGTCGGGGTGAACTGAACCCTCTGGTCCTCCAGGACCTCCGTCAGGAGCACATGGAAGGTGCGATAAGCTTGGAGATTTTCTTGGAGTCTTTCTGCTTCTGTCAGCTCACTCCACCGATCAGTGCTGGCTGTTGGCACACCACCCACAGAATCCAGGTTGACATTCTTGTTCAGGCCCTGATATTCAACCTGGGCAAAGGTAGGGAGGAAATACAGAAAAGCATGAAATCTTCTAAACTCAGCTATAGGTACGCCCTTAAACCCGAAAAGAAAAAAAAAAGGTCTGTCTTGATATAGACACCATTCAGAATTGAAATTAAAAGAAGGAAGTTCTCCATCTAGAAAGCTGAGGCCTATCTCTGTGCTCACTCAGGTGGAGCCAGGATGCCTCCAGGGATGGAGTGGTAAGCTAGGACTCCTCCTTGGAGGATATGATTAGGGAATGGGAAAGTCCCTTAAGTCACAGAGAACAACACTTCCCATCAGTTGTTTTCCCAAGGATGACATGGGAGGCTGTTGTTGAGGTTTTCCCAGCTTAGGAACCTGCACAGTCCCTCAGGGATTTAGGATGCTCTGCTCCTAGGTGATTCTTTCTATAGTAAAATGCTTGTGTGTGTGTTTGTTTTTTGTTTGGGGGGGGCAGGAGGGAAAACAGATGTAAGGCTTCTGTGTGCTAAGTCCAAAAGCAAGTGAGAGGGACGTGTACTATCACAATTTGGGAGAGTCTGATTTGCCAACCTTTTCTAATTTCATGCAGCTCTTTTCCCAAATTAAGACAAATCACTCCTCCCCCTCATTCTGCATACAGAAGGCATTTAAAAATGCATCTGGAAAAAATGAACTTCAAAAATAACAACAAAGCTAAATTTGGAAGGCATATGCCACACCCTGGTATTTTATGTGAAGTGCCTTTGCATAAATTCACAACGAAGTTGTAAGAGGCACTCATATCACCCCACCAAGAGCTCCCAGGCTATTTCTTATTGGCCAAGTCTCCTAAACAACTCCGAATTCATGGTGGGGATGGTGGGGAGAGAGGGGACAGCATGATACAGTGGAAAACACAATAGATTTGAAGTCATAGAACCAGAGTTCAAATCCCAATTTTTGCCAAGGTGTGATCTTCTGGGAAGTCAGCAACTCTCTGGCCTTATCATAAAATGAGGAGTTTCATGTAAATGATGTCTAATCCCTTTCAAGGGCGAAATGTATGATCCTATCAACCAAAGCTCTCAGGCGAATTGGATCTCCTGTGATGTTTTCAATCATATCCCTAGAAGGATAAAAGGAAGAAATATTGTCCTTCTCACCTTCACATTCCCACAGATCTAGGTGTTAACAGAAGAGGTTGGAAAAGGGGGTTCAAAGGGAAGACAGGAGAGGAATAACCCTTTAAGAAGTTGAAGCCACAGGCATCCTCCCAAACATCTCTTTTCCCTCAGAGCACTGGCAGTCTCCATCCCTGCCTATTCATCACCTCAACAATCCCTCCCCCCATCCTAAATCAGACCTGAACAAACCCTAGATAACCAAGACTTTAAAACCATGGTTTGTAATATTTCCTGACATTCAGTCGGTTTTTTTATTAACAGGCAGTGACCATGTTTTTCCTAATTGCATTTAGTATGTTTTGAGCTCTCAGTAACTGTGGTGAGGAACAGAGACAACAGTAGCTAGTGTGGAAAGAAGCAGTTCATTTCAACTGGATACTTACATAAGCCTCTAGGAGGGAATTCAAGTCTGAACGGATCTTCCTTGCTAGCCAGATAGAACGGGTGCAGAGGTCCCGGTGGTGGGGGGTTAGTGGGGTGTGCTCTGTGAAAGCCATCCCTCTTAGCGGCAGTCTCTCTCCAGAAAACAGCAATTCAGTTTAGGGGTTACAGCCACCTGAGCTGTGTCTTGCAGCCAAAGAGGTCTCTTCTCAGCTTCTCTGAGTTGCGGCGCACCTCCCCGCCCCACCTCCCCCAATCGTACACACAAAAACAACAGACACAGAAAACGTCCCTCTGGTTCTGAGGTGGCAGCACATTCCTAGACAAGGATTTCAGTCCCTACAGAATTAACAAAGGGCACTTTTTACCCCATCGCCCTTTACCCCTGCCTTCCTTTTGTTTCTCCCTCCCAATGCACTGCATGGCATACTGTTTTCCTGTTACTGCTCTCCCTTTGCACTTAGCAACAAAGTCATGATCACTGGAATCCTCTAAGGAAACTCCCGCCTGATGTAATATATTTTATATACACAGATAGCTGATTTCATCAGAGGACTGCATAGTTTTTCCAACCTCATTTTTTCTTCCACACACCCCATTTAAAGAAATTAAGTTTTGTTTTGAAATGGGCCATTCTTCGTTAAGTATATAATGCCTAAGTTCTTTAGAATTATCTTTAAAACCTAAGATTTAAATCCACTCTGGACGCAAATCAATTACAAGATGAGTCTGCGAATCCTACCCTGTGGCCTTCACTCTAGCTTCTAAAGCACAAAGATCCTCCCACCACTGCTTGAGAACATAATTCTAAGGCAGTTGCTGAAATGAGGAACAGCAGCCCTATGATTAAAGGTATTTCCTCCAGGTCCTTGGCATTACCAGGGAGATGATGTGAATTAAGAATTCCGTGTGTGTGCGTGTGTGTGTGTGGAGGCGCAGCACTGGACACTGGCCATCTACTAGTCAGCTAAGAGAAGATGACGTTTCAAGTTTGATTTCCAAATAAAAGTCCATGCCAGCCACACTAGTTCTAACCTTGCCTGGCATCATGCCAAAGGATCAGTACAAAATTGGCCAAATTCACAAGGACAAACTCTCAATAGTTGGTCAGCAGCATCTGTTTCTCTTCATCAGCAAAGGAGATCATTTTTAAGGTGAGGTCTAACACAGGTGCAGAGGGATGAGGAGGCGACAGTGGTTACCATAATAGCTCTGACCCGTGCCTGAGGCTTAGCCCCTCAAATATATGACAGAAGAACCATCAGGATCTTCCTTCCAATGATGCCACAAGGGGTCCCCAACCATAACGAAATCTATTCCTCCACCCTTGCCCCTGGTAGAAAGTTTGACCATCCAAAAGTAATTCCTGTAGTGTTCTGAACCATCAGTAACTGTTGTCAACAACTACAAACCAAGATTCCAGTCTAAATCAAAGATTTACCAATGGTGGCTACACTGAGCCAACAAGAACCAGTACTACCCCCATCTCCTCCCCACACTTCCCACTGCGCCCGCCCCGCCCCACCCCGCATGTTGTAACTTATTTCTATCAAATTATTGCCTTCAAATCTGACAACATAATCTTTTCCCCCTGGGATCACTGCAACCCCATATAACCAAGGAAAACAAGTTGCTTCCATGAAGACAACTTTTATTTTTCTTTATACATTTATTTTCATTATGTTTTACCTAGATTAAGAGAAAACAACAGGAGTTGAAAAGCAGAGTATCCCTTTTATTATAATTTTTTTACATAACTTTTCCAACCTAGGTTCAGTTAAAGTACCTGTCTCCCCCATTCAATTAAGAAGGGTCCTGCATATTTCAACAGGCAAAAAGAGAGGTCTTTGAGAAATAAAATATTTTAAATTGATCCATTACTTCTTTTCCCTTGAATACTACACCTGGGATGAGAGAAGAGGACAAAGAGGGAGCAGGGGAAAGATGGTTCATCAAACGCCTTAGTCAGAGCCAATTGTGTCCCTTCTACTCTTTGCCCCATGCAGATATGGAACTGGTATGGGTACTTCCATACGGAAGCTGCTTCACATCCTAAAAGCCCAGTTCCTCATATCCAAACCTCTATCTGAATCTCATTTTAAGATGGTGTCTCAATCATGCAAAAATGATTACAAGATGTCCCTCTTGACAAGGAGAAAACACAGCTCCCTGCTCGACCTGCAGCCTCATGCCAACCAGACATCTACTTCTGAGGTACAGTGCAATGTGACAAGTGTCCATTCAAAAGGAGAACACGGAGCTAAAATAGACACAATTTAAATAAAATAGGATCGGGCTATTTCTGGACCAGGGGTAGGAGATGTGCATGTAAGGCTCCTTGGAAGTGCACTTAAGTCAACTTTAAGGAAAGGAGAGGGGGGATGGAGAAGAAAACATAAAGGGGAAGGATGCAAGATATTAGTTTACTTAAAAAGAGAGCAGGAAATCAACTCCCAATTCCATATCATGTTCTTTTCCCCAAATGTTCCCAAAAGGAAAAATAAAATAAAGCCCATGAAAAATACAAAGTGTTTATTGCAAACTACTACAATAATTTAATTGAAGCAAACTGCATGCATGCGAGTGGTGGCAGAGAAAAGGACAAGGAATGAGAGAAGTAGGAAGTTTCTAAGTATTAGAACTAGTCAGTTGTGAGGGGCGGGAGGGGAATCTGACACAGCTCTCTCTCCCTTTCCTTAGACAAGCTATGTGTGGAGTTTGCTTCTAGTGGAGCGGAAGTGGTATCTGTGAAGACACTAACCACTACAACTGAAATATACTGGAAAAAAAGCAAAGGGTTAGACAACACAGGAGGGGCAGAATGGATGCTAGCTGGTGTAGCCAGTACAGACTGGGCCTTCATGTGGGTGGCCCCATTTGATCAGCTTTCATGGCCTTTTCAAACGTTCTCAGCATACCAATCTACTGACCACCCCCTAGGGCTTGAAGGGAAGCATATTCCCCATCAGGCCCCATCCCTGTCCCCTTTTACTCTCTACCCCCACAGCCAAGGGCCTGCAGATCTAAGAAACAATGGAGCATTTGAGACTTTGTTCACTGTGGGAGCTCCACTCCCCATTCTCCTGGCAGGCCTGCTCTGCTACGAGTGGTAAAGTCAAGCTTCTTTCAAAGATGACATTTTGGTGTCACCCTTTTCTTCAAGGACGTGAGGGGGGGAAGGAGGGAGAGAAAAGAAAAAAAAAGAAAAATCAAGATAGAAAATTGATAACCTTTGTATTTTTAGTGTTCATGAAAAACAGCTGTTCCTCACCTTTTCCAACAAGCCTTCTTTCCTCTAACAGTCACCACCCATTTCTCACAAGAGATAGAGCAAACCTTCACGCCCTACCACTTCAGGTACACAATAAAGCCTTTCTCAAGGACAACCACTGCCCTTCTGATGCTCTAAAAATGAGACTGGACAGGCAGTCTTTTGAAGGTTAAAGTTATACCAGACACTAGTCCATAAAGCAGCATACCCCTGGATAGTACTTAGGGTACACAAATTTGCTAGAAGGGACAACGGAGGAACCCTCCTCCCCTGCCCCTAGATTCCAGTTCAAAATGAAAGGCAACAAGTTGACTGTATCCCTACATCTGTTGTAGCCTCACTCTTCTGAAGAAAGGGCAAAACCATCAGAGAGCAACTAACAGAGCCGGGCACTTATTTTTATGAAATTAAATTACAAGATGCCATGCTTTGACCCCTCAATCGGCAGTGTCTTAACAGAGGGAGGGCACTGGAATGAAGCAGACAATGACAAAGCGATGATTACCATAGCAATAGATGGGAATAAATGACCTAAGAAGGTCTAAGGGGAAAAAGACAGACTTACAAGAGAAATTCTTGTTTCTTGCAGTTCATACCCTGAAACAGCCCTCCTCTCTCCCTCTCTCAAAAACACTAAAGCTCACTGCTCTAGAAATCCAAAGAGGGCACTAATTCTCATCAAGCCTTCCACCCTTCCCTGAAAAGATTTTTCAAATGATCACTAAGCTAATGTAGTGATTCTCTTAGTGCTGAGGACCAGCTCTTCTTAGAGGCCACTAGAAAACTATGATTTGAGGGGCTGGCTTTATATCTTATACCTTACAGTCTTGCCTCCAAAAGTACCTAGTGTGGGAAGGATCCCATATCAGAATAGTTCACTTTCCTAGCCCCACAAAAAAAAAATAACAACAAAAACAAAAAATCAGACCTTTTGTCAATAAATAAGGAATTGTGTTTCTACAACACAAAAACACATATGTTCAAAGTGCAAATTTCTGTCATCAGTCTGGGACTCTTGTGTCTCTCCAACATAGAGCTCTGTTTTCCAGTCAGAGAATGTATAGAGGGCAGCCCCTCCCTCTCCAAAAAACCTGCTGTTAAGCAAGTGAGCACCACTGAGAGCCATATGGAGGTGTGGGGAAGGAGGTGGAGGTCCCCATGCAGCCTTTCTTTCAAAAGCTCAGTGGGAAATGAAAGAAAATGGGGATGAAAGATGTGGGCTGTTGGACAGCTCACCCTGAGGAGGGGCCCTAAAGTGCCAAGGTAAGCTCCTAATCCAGGGGAATACAACAATGTGAGGCTGAGTGCTGCAATAGGGAAGAAAGAAGAATGACAGGGCTGCAGTAGAAAAGGAGATAAGATTGGGAGGACAGGAATCTGTCAAAAGAGTAAGAAGCCAAACACATCAAAACGACAGTCTAAGAAAGGAAAAGGAGAAGGAAGAGGTCTGCCAAAGGTCAGGAAAAGTCTGTCTGGCTTGAATTGGGCGTGAGGATTTCCCTCACTTTGCTTTGAGAGTTTCTTCTGTTTATCATTGGTGAAAGCAGCATTACTTTCATAAAGGGGCCAATGGCGGAAGGATGGAAGGAAAGGGGGTGTGCTATGTTCCACACTGGGAGGAGCAGGCCCTTCAGTTACTTTTACTAGTATTTTAAATCTGTTTTAACTTGGTAATTTTTTTCCATTTTTTTTCCTTTTTTTAAATACAAAGTCTGAATTGTCCCAATGACCCCTACGGTCCAGTAGAATCTGAATCTTCAATCAGAACCTCTGTGGTGGCCCCGAGAATCTCCGTGTTCATGACCAGCCCTTCTGTGCCTCCACTGCTGCCACTTCCCACAAAGATCTTTCCATCCGCCATCAGGCTCACTCGCTCTGCCCCACTGCAGAACGCCTTGGGCATCCCTTCCGAATCTAGCAGGAGGCACTCTGCAGGGGCCGAGTTCCCCAAGGGCTCTGGAAGAAGGGGAAGGCCCTGGGCATCAGTGGGTTGTGCCAGGGACTCTGGGTTAGTACCCAGGATATCTGTGCTGGTGATTAGGGCTCCAGCATTGGCAGCCAGAGCTTCAGCAATCAGCACCTCTGGGTGGCTTTTTGCTTTGTGGGCCACCACGCTGTCCTTCT